TCAGAGTCTGAGGGGATCAAGCAGCCGCTCCAGACTGGGCGCTGGGTAAATTAAATTTACTGTGACATATTGTTGGGAGCACTTACAGAGTAATATGTAGTAAGTTGTTTTGGTATGCCGGTCCAAGGAGAAGCTCGACCTTCAGCTATGTATATTATCAACAGGATGTTGTGTCCATTATGGCAAAATGACACCGAAAATGAAGAGTGCTAAAAGTTAGAAATAGCAAAACATGGGAATTGTTTTTTTTGTTTTTCATGAGGCGCCTATTGCTGCCAATAGAGTGCTGCTGGAATGACAAACAAATCTTTACGATACTTGGAGGTTTTCCTGAACAAGATCTTCACAAAAGAACACCACTTTAATGACTTGAGTAAACGAAATTGTCGGGGAAAAAAATGACACTAGCTATAAACAAACCTGGTCACATGACTCCAAATCACCAATTACAAAATTAAAGAAATGACGCTTAGTAGTCTCATTGAACCAAGACTTTAAAATTCACAAATGAGGTTTTACTGATATATTTTATGTCACAGAACATTTAAATGTCATTTCAAAGCATGAGTTGAACACAGACCGTGTTTCAGGATTCTGACTGAGTTGCTGAGTTGCCATCCACCATACGTTTGCCAATCGTTACTGAGGGTCAACCACTCTCTAAACCCATCTAAGTGGTATCGTTGAATACGCCTGTCTGTGAAGCCTGATGTTCTTCTAAAAAAGACACTTTGTATGGAAGGAGTGGAAACTGACACACCCAAAACGATTGCTAATTCAGCACTACCACCAACGCCATGGTATATTTCGTACTTCCTTATTTTGTTGCTGCTGTTTATTGCATTTGAGGAAATGTACACTCAAGGCCACCAAACTCAATATCTGAGATTGTTACTGGAAAGAATATGTAATGTCTTAGCAAACATGTTTCTTAATTATGCATGCATCTAAGGTGTGATTTGAATATTGAATATTGGGAGGTCAGCCAGAGGTCAAAAGAATGTAGAAAATGTGCTGCAAACAAAGTTATGAGATTCGCACAATAACCGAAAACTGAACTCACTTTGTTAAAACTCTTTCAATAAAAGAGCTTTAAAGGGGGGAATAATAAGGAATATTTCTCCTGCATTTCTCTCCTGCATTCAAGTTTTGTTTATAGTGTTCAGTGTATTCACAGCAAGAACACCGATTTCTCTTCTGAGACGTCTGATACTAACAGAAACTACACTCATTCCTTCAGTGGTGCCTGTGTGTTCAAGAATCAGACTTGTCTCCTAGACAGCAGTATGACGACATTTATACGAAGCACCATATTGATTTTCAATGAAAACGTTGCATTGCTTTGTTGCATTTCCTTAACCTTGGCTTCCACGAACCTGAGGCTGCCCAATTCAATTTTTCTTAGTTGGATTTTTCATCTCTCTCTTTCTCTCTCTCTCTCTCTCTCTCAGGGGGAAATGTAATTTACTCTTTACTCCGGTGCTTGGCGTCTGTTGGGGCGTCCTTATTTAACTTGAAAAAACTAAAAGGAAATCATGGCAGAAAATGTAATCAAATTTAAAAGTTTGAAATTTGAAGTGCAGTGCGTTCACTTGAATTTTCAATTTCCAAAACAATGACGCCGCATGGCGGATCCACACCGTCGCCTCTCAACAGCTCTTGAATCTGGAGCCTGTGGTGAGCAGACTCCAACTCACACGCGGGCGTCGACAACGAGCCCGTGTTTCACGCTGTATTTTAAGCTCATTTGGCCTCAACACTCTCGGCAGGTCAAAGAAGAGCCACGAGCACCATCGCAGTCGGATGTCGGTGGTCTGTTTAACAGGCGTAACATTTCTTCTCGCTAACACTGGGCCTCTGGAAGGAGCTCACAGTTGAGTTCTGCTTGACTTGCGCCGCTGGGACTGTTATCTTTAGAACCACGCTGATAGTAGAGGGCGAGTACCAGAAATTTATTTTGAGATCTACAGTCTCACATAAACACATTGAAAACCTTTTGAACTGTAATAACAAAGGCATGTAAAAGCTAACCTTGCATAATGTGGAGTTATTGTTTTCCAGATCTGGGTTGATAGTCAAAGCCTCGTGGGCTGCAGGTCTCCAGCCTGACCTGCAACTGCCGATGTGCTGTGTGCGAGGTCGGTGGATGGATGGGTCAATGAGTGAGGAGGCGCGTTGCATTATTCAGCCTGGTCCGCTGAGCTCTGATAACACAAGCAACAACAGCGGCGCAGAGCTCTGTGTGAGACAGCCAGCATGCCAAATCTGACATTATGAGCAGCGTCTCACGCCCCAGATTAGCTTCATTTATTATTTTAGAATGTAGAATTAGAAGAAAAAAAAGAAATGTCAGGAATGGCTGGGCATTTTTCTAGACTACATTGGTTTTGAAAATTGAAAATCTTAATTATGTGTTAATATTTCCAACAAATGAACTCTGTTACAAGCTACAGATTTACAGAGTATGTCATAAAGGTAAAAAATGCTGAGTTCTTACCCCCCTTCTAAGCCCCACTGTAAGGCTTTGATCAGCACGACCTGCCACATGTCAGAGTATGTTTACTGCATTTCTATTATGTGCCGAGGTTGTTAACTTTTACAACCTCCTTTTAAATGACGAGGTAAATGCAAACGTCTTCACAAAAAAGTGTTGAGGAAATCTTCTTTTTCTCCCACCGTGGTCTTTCTGCCTTGCCTGCCGGATTCAAGTGAATTAGATGTGGATGCAGACGTGCTCATAAATCTTACAAACACGGAGCTAACGTGTTTCAGACCTGCTTACCAGGTGTAATTTGTCAAGAGTAGGTAACTCTATTCACAGAGCTTCTGCTTGAGTATAATAGATATCTAAATACAAAACATGTCTGAAATACAGTATACATATGGTATAGTCAAGTAAAACACCTTAGACTTTCTCTATCTTGATGAGCCACTATAAGAATCCATATTGTGGCAATACTCTATATGTATTAATGTATATAATATATCTATCTTCCTCCACAGGAACGACCTAAATCAACATAAGAAGTTCCTTGTTGCTGTGAAGAAGCATATTAAATGTTTGTATGTCTGTTGTTGCTTTTACTTCTTCCACGACTGCCTGCCAAGTGAATACAGATGGAAATTAGGTCAATAAATCATCATTTCACATGGCAGTGCTTAATAACATCATTGGAGTGAAATACCAAAAAGATGCAAATTTATCAGTGTTTCCGTGTCTTCCATTCAATAAGTAAATTAGATCAAAGCCTCATTACTCAATACAACTTTCTGGAAAATTGTCAGGGCTTGTGGATGCTGTAAATTAAAATGAGGTCCTGCTATTGATGTTAACTAGTTGTTAATTAGGGGAAACATTTAGCCAATAATGCTGCTCTAATCACACGAGTAGATTCCCCCCCGGAGTCCGATCTGTAACTAAGAGATACTTCTGAGCGAGCACAGGATCGCTTGGCTCTAAACTAATTATCCAGATCCTGCTACCTGAGCGTAAAGGTGCATGTCTGATGTTTACCATGTCACAAAACAGTCGGCAGATTGCTTTTCCTTCTCTTGTTTCAAAGGTGAAATGGTGCATTTCTTGCTCACAGACTCAGACATCGGAGTCCTTTTCTCGTTTTACTCTTGTCTGGATCTTTCCTCGTCCGTCACACTTGCTCAGGACTGTCATAGAAACAGCTTGTGATCCAAAGCCCTCTCCTATTCGTTTCAGTTACATAAATACCACATACTGTTGGAGTCCTGAACCATATTTTTAGACTGGTGTCGACAGGGCCGATGATGATGCCAGCACATCAACAGTCCCATCATGTAACACAGATATAGGGGTGTGCACATACAAGGCACTTTTTCAACAGCACACTATACTTATTCCCGTATCTGGCAGGCGGGTACAAGTTTTTTTTTTTAGGTAGGCTCCTGTGTGCCATGCAGTGCATCCATACTTGTTTTTGTACAGAAAAGTACAACACATTGTACAGCCCATCACGTGCTTTGTTATCTGACAACAGTGCAACAAATGGTTTAGCCACCTGTGACGGTTTTCAATTATTACAAATCAGTTAAGAAGGAAAGATTTAGTTGCAGTGAGCCAACGCTTCACAGCAACTTGCTCTCAATGCACGTAAGCCGAAGGAGGTATCTTGAATATAGCTGGAGGTTATTCAAATAAAAAAACTCATTAACCAATTGGAAGGTACTAAAAAGGCTCGGTTGGGGGCCGTGCCGGGTCGGCACTAGCCTGGGACCAAATGGCTAAAATTAGTCTCTGGAGTAAATAAAGAAACTATGTACTTTCATTTCAAAAGGTTATAGTGCATTAAATAAGATGTAAGAAAAATGATGTACAAATTCAGACACAGGTAAAGTGAGTCAATTGAACTAAACAAACCTGACTCCTCGCATCTGACATATTACGATGCTGAAAAAACAAGCCAAGTGGTGCAAAGATTGATTGTTGTGAAGTCGACTCCGAACAAAGCCTCTTACCCAGTAATTAGGGAGTCAGCAGACGCTGGCATTGAGTGCTTTGAGCACATGGAAGAAGCCGTAATTGTTTTCTGTTGATTGCATGGGCTTTTCACAGAAAAGTGGTTACTGCGCTTGTGACCACGGACTACTGGTGTGTGAAGACCCACCAGCACGCATACGGAGGCATGAGAGATTGAGTGGAAACCCTTTATTATCAGAGCTTCATGTTCTTCACTACAAGTGGCTCAAAACAGAGGAGATTTAAAGAGGCTCTTATTAAAGTAGAATGCCACTGTTGCCCATTCACATTTAGCGTTGTGAAATAATGTTTAATAAAACACACCCTTGCTTATTTAATACAAGAGTTTGGCTGGTAAAGCTTCTAATGGACGGTCTGGTGTGACCAGTAAAATATGTTGGTGCTTTTTTGTTGTTTGCAAACTGCTGCTGCTGTGTAGAAGACACAACCTTTTTTTACCTACTAAATTACTCTAAAACTCTTTTACTTTTGTGTTACAACTCGTTGTTTCTTTGGGCCGGAATTGCAGCCAAAAGTGAGATATGCACCATTTAAAATGAAATACTTACCTAATAATTACTTACTTAATAATTACTATTATTTAAACTTTAAAAAGGAAAAAAGATACACAAAAACAAATTATTTGCATCCCATATATCCTCTTTAGTGACGCGAATCAATGGAAGAAATACAATGTGGTTTGTGTTTCTTGAACGCCGGCTCCATCTGCTGGTTATCTCAACTCTCTTTTCACAATGTGCTGCTTGGGCAATGTAAATTAAATCATGGAATCATAACAAAAGTTGGTCTGACAGTTAGCGCTTCATGGGAGTGATACTCGATCTGTTATTATAATTGTCTGAAGGTTTTCTGGGAGCAGTGTAAAGTTTCCCACAAACCCTCCGCAGAGGTCAGAAGTGCTTCTCTGTGACGTCCTTTGAACGTCAACACAACTTTACTGTAATTTATATGTATTAATCCTGCTGATGAAGCGGGATAGCTCAAAGTTAAACAGGGATTCCCTGGTTCTTTTACCACAGTTGAACTGCATTGACTGTTGTCCTGGCAACCTTATGTCACAGAGTTACAATGCCTCTCTGTCTCAGCTCAGCTCATCGGTTCCATTAATTACATTACATCTGCAGGGACTCAATGAATAGAAGAACCTGTGGTCTCCTCCTCTGAGGAAAATTGAAAGAAATGTACATTATATTATATCATTTAGAAGTAGTGGCATCAAGTCTGTAAAGAGAGAGGACATTTGGGATGAAACGATTGAGGAGCACAGATCAGTTTTAGAGTTTTACATCCTGGAGTTTATGTCTAAGGAGCCTTATGGAGCCTCATACTATACTGCTACAGGATGTGGTGAGTGTTTATGTCGGTATTTAGTTGTTCTTCATGTTACCTGGTGGGGAAAGAGGCCCAGACAGTTTTACTGGAATGCCTAAAAGCAGGCAGCTGTCTTGTTAAATGCTCTTGAGAGATTTAGTTTTGACATATGGCAGAAAAGTGTCTTCGACTAAAGGACGACACAAATCAGTTTAATGTGCTGCTCTTCCAATTGAGCAGTTGAGTCATAATAATTTACATTTCTCATCTTACACATGCTTTCTTATTGTTGAAAGAGAGCAGAGGGCATTCGTATACTTTGTAAAAGCATCTCACACATTTTCCTACTGTCCCACAATCCTTTAAATTCACATGGTTTTGGTGGATTTGATGCACAAAAAAGGTTTACCAAAGGCTCAACTTGTGGTCCATGGGAGGAGGAATATTTTTTAATTCAGAGACGCCACAGTTATGCAGCGAGCTGGGCTGTGGCTTCCTTCTTTGGGCGGATCCTCCCCCTCGTCTGGAAGCTGTTGAGTTTTCTTCCAGATGTGGCCGTGTGCTTTTTCTAATTATACAATGTTACAGGCAGAGCATAACAGAAATAAAGGTTTGAAAAACAACACAAACAAGAGATAAAGGGGTGGAAGTGTTGGGTACTAACTTCAATTAGGACTTTTCTTACTTTTGGACGTGCAAAACTATTTATCTATTTATTGCAATAGTTTACGTTATTGCAATAATTGCGTAATGACGAGGATGTTCTCCTATTAAAAAAACATTTTTAAAAAGTGGTTTGACACATATATTCATATTGAAATAATCAGGATAACACAATGGGCTTATAATGAAGACGAGGTGTTTAATTGGAAGGATTCCCAGACATCTTGCACATGTTCTCAAAAAGAAATCAAAAAGCTGCGTACACGCAGGCTCATTCGTCTGTTTGCCTCTCACATTCACACTTTACAAAATGACAGTTGTTTAAAAGCAGGTTTCTTTGACTTGGTCACCCTCAACGGGGAACAGATTGCACAGCTGTGCGACTCACGCGCACACACACTGCAAACACACAAGCAAGAGACGAGAGGGGAAGAGCCCTTAATGAAGGATAGCGGACAGCTCCTTTGCTCTGGTGAACTATTGGGTGCTGCTTTGGCAGCGAGATGCTCCTGCTGTGTCCTTTGTATGTACAAGTGGATCAAACAAAAGCTTATTGAGGAATCTCTGGGAAGCCCGAGCTGTTGGAAAGGAATGCCCTTTTCTCTTGGAGTCCTAATCAGTCACCGGAGGGCCCGTTGAGGTGGAGGGGGGCTCCTGGACACGGCGGGCGGACAGGATCTCTCACTCACTCCTCACTGGTCTCAATAAAATCTATTAGCTGAACACAGAGCGGCCAGAGGCTGCTCATTGCTGCTGATGTGATACTGATGAATCAAACTCATTGTCTGCTTTTGGCCTTTTCATGGTCACACGGGCCGATCCTTATGCCGTGTCCTGGGAATGGCTACATACTTAAATGCAGTAATCAAGTAGTTTGAGAGATCCAGAGGTAAAAGGCGGTAGTTACTATTAACTATATAAAAGAAAGAAAGTGTGCGTGTGTTTCCGTCTATAAGAAGGAGGAGTTTTCTCGCTGCGCTCCTGCGCCAAACGGGTGTTGCGTAAGTATTACGCTGCGCCTCATCCTGATGTGGAGTCACCAGCAAGTTTACCCGCTGTGCGCCTGTGGAAAGGTGGCGGGACACCGACGAGCGGCTTTTCCGACGTTGACCTTCTTGAAAACTGACCTTCAACACTGCCAGGATCTTTGTTGCTTGTAGTTCAAGGGGAAGATAGATGGTTCGCACGAGGCGTTTGGAAATGGGACTTTGCAGTTAGAACCGCGAAAGAAGCCAGACGGGCGGCCATGGGCAGCGGCACGAGCCGGGGGAAGAGGGTGACACCCGCGTGTGTCAGCGAGGTGAACGTGACCAAAACCACGGTGGGCGTCACTCCCTCCGTACAGGAACGCCGTTCGTTCAAGCCCCTCGAAGTCGGTGCGATTCTGCGCAACGCGCGCAACCGCGCGCAGCCGGACCGCCACAGCGATGGACACGACTCGGACTTCTCTGGGGAGGACGACGGAGGGATGGACACCTTCCTCACGGACCGCGAGGATCGAGAGAGATCCGCCGTGAAGACAAACCACGCGAAGAAGACGGTCATCAGATCCAAAACGTACGGACTGTGCCACCGGGGCGAGGAGGAAGAGGAGGTCAGCTCGGCCCCTCGGCTGCGAACCGAGGAGGCAAGTGGCCCAAATGAGGCCTCGAGGAGTAGGGATGCCTTCACAGGCGCCTGCCCCGGTCAGCGCAATGTAAGGACTTTTAAATTATACCGTTTGATGATTGATGTTGGAAGGCATAAAGTGTATCTGGTTGTTTTTAAACGTTTTATTGTCAATCATCAAAAGCAAGGCGCTAATTCGAATAGCAATGAGTCTACGGCGAAGCCCCATGATACCCTTTCTCTCCTCTCTGGTCCTCCTCTAAGGGCTTTTTGGCAAGTGGAGCTTTGTTGGAAGTTCTTCCCGCGTCAGCAAAACAATCGTAAGTCGACGGCTGTAATAAATAATGCATTTCCGAGCTCTTAAGTAAAAACCGAGCAGGGCCAGATCAAATTCACCTTAAAAGGAATGGAAATCCCAACCCATTATTCTCAGGGCAGATTAGTCAGACGTCTGTTTTTGTTTCAGGGTAGCGCAACTTAAAACAACATATTTCCCTACCTCAAGCACAACTTTACAGACTTTATTTGATTCTGGCCCTTAATGGCCTTTTAGTGAAGAGTGTGGAAATACCTCAGTTGATGGTTGGATGTTTGATCTGTTAGAAAATAATGTATCCAGACAACTCAGTTTTAATCATCATCGTTAATCACCACAATGTTGTTGTCATGTCTCTCTGATCTCCCCAGGACATTTGGCAGCTGCCATAGCTCCTGTCTCCCCATGCCAGTGTATGATGGATCAGAAGAAGCGCTGATGGACACTATTGAGAAAGAGTTTAGTTGACCCCAAGCTGAGAGCACAAAAACAAAACAGAAAGGGAAGCAGGGTTTCTTTTGACAAATTCCTGCCACGATGGAAGGCTACATTAATAGTATTTAACTTAAATGCTGCTGTGAAGGAATCCCTGCGTTCACCCAAGTCTTATTTACCAACATTGAGCAGTGTAATTAGAGCTATAGCATCAGTAAGTTGTCCTCACTGACCAGGTGGGACAGATGCCTCCTTGGTTTGTTATGGTGTCACTGTCCCACACACACACGTCCACAGTGCCGACCCCCCGCAGAGAACACAACTACTTGCTGTATTAGTTACCTATTACTTCACTTTAACTTGTCCGGTAATCAGTTGAGGAGAGGGTACAGTTTCTCCATTGTTTCTGAAACTGAAATAAACCCTAAACACATATTTTTGGGATCATACTATTAGCAGAAAATAACTTTTTCCACCACCAGTTTTGTGAATTCAGCACAATGCATTTAGGGTATTTTTTTCCCCACGTGGACACCTTAGAAAAGTATGAGCTGTGGTTGATTATTTAAGGTTTCATTCCCTTGGTTCCTATACTTTTCCACCATTATGAAGAAGGAATGTGTGACAACAGAGACTCTCAGCCAGGCTCAGGTTGGACAGCTGCGTTTCAGCCCCATTCAAACATGACGGCCTCCTGCCGCCTGGTGGTGCAACATGGACGTTGTGTGAAGTTGACCGGGTTTCACACATTCGTTCCTGTTTAATAAAATGTAAATCCTAATAAAAAATGCAGAAGAAGACTTTTGTAATGTTGTTTTATATTGCAAATAAACAAATAGTATTGCTGTATTTTGGATAATGTGTGATTTTGTGTGTGTGTGTGTTGTTTTAGTTTACTGATACCAAAGCAGCCAAAAGTGGTTTGATGTGCCATTTAATCACCACGGTCATCACAGGCATTACAGGTTTGAGAGTATTCGGCAGGTAGAGTGTACACAATAAAATCTGCATCTCTAAAACTAAATAAACCATAAATATGTTTGCAGAATATATTTTAAAAATAAAAACACTGCCCACAGTGTGACTGGAATGTTTGCACTGTAGGAAGTACTTAAAAAATAAATTATGGCTGCATTGTTTGTAGCAATGCTAACATTCTTTGAACTAATATCTTTGCTTCTTTGAGGGCCTGTAGAAAGACATCCTCGTCTGTACTGCCGTGAGCAGTTTGGGAGGAAGGAGATGAAGCTGATCTCTCAGTGTCTCACAGTTCATCAAATTCATTGCAATAAAATCCTCGCAAATCCTGTCAGAAGAAAAAGTCTGTCATTTTCTCATTTCTATCTTTGGAAAAAGATCATATATACGCAAAGAAAATATAACCTTTTTAAATTAAATTATACATTTAAAAGGGTGTTACCTTGATACGATATATTTTATTTTAAACAAAAAAACTTTTAAAGCCATTTTAACTGGCTGTTTTATAAAAAGATCTATTTGATATTTTCAAAATAACAGTTTCTTACCTGAAAAGAGGATACGGCTGCGTCTGGAAAACAAGTGCATCATTGCAGTGACCCTGAAAAACAAATAAGCAGGATTTGAAAGGGTCCATTTTGAATATCAGGTGGGTTTTCTCTGAAATGTTATTAACATTAACATCTGCATCAAAGAGCTGTTGAGAGTAACTTTACATTTATTTGACATGTGATGATTTCAAGTCTGTCAAATTATCATTTATTATCGCTTTTTCAGCTTCTAAACTGTATCTGATACTTACAGTGTCAACAAGGAGAATAGAGTCACAGCTTCCACCAAATACAATGACATCAGAGTCTTTGCCTGGACTTGCCGTGTGCCACAACCTTGGACAGGGGAAATACGTGCTATTTCAAATCTGCTCACAATTCTAAGTCTACCACAGAACATTAAATGAAACCTTGTCATTTTTGGTTGCACATCATTCATTAATTGCTACCTTGGCTTATTTTTATAAGGGTGCTCAACTTCTCTCCAATTCTTGGTTTCAACATCAAGCAACCACCCATCACCTGATGGAGACACGCGTGTTATTGACACATACAAAAAAAACAACAGCGAGAGAACATAAATTGACCAAAGGGGCACGTTTTCTTACTCATTGGTTTGCACTCTACACTGAGACCTCCGAAAAGGAACAGTCCGCCGTCAGATACGGCCGTGAGCGTATGCCACGATCGGCCCACCGGAGAGGCGGAAACTGGAATTCTGTAACAGATTGTGCACAACGCCGTCAAAGACAAACCTACCAACAGATTATCCTCACCTTCAAATGTTGAGGTAGAAGTCTTCTGGGCACCCGCAGCTGAGAATTAATTACATCACATACGTACATTTCCGACCATGTCCATGTTTGAAAGTCTAGGCAGTGAATGTCACTCGTCCTGGTTTCCTGCATTCAAATAAGGAGGAGAACGAGGTGCTAATGCAGACTTTATGTCTCTGTGCTGCTGCTGACTTTTTGTTGATATGAATACGTGGGAACGAGTGTAAAGCACGAGGAGCTCCCACCATGACTCTGCCTCCACAAACGTATCCTCTGCAGCCGACTGCGGCACTGGCGTGAGCGGCCCTGGGGGCTGGAGCGCGGCCCTGCACACCGAAAAACGCTCACGGTCACGTCATCCGAGAACACCTTTAAACTTCCCTTTGTGCTTGAATGTCACGTTATTATTCAGAATCACGCATTGAGTGCATAAAAGCCCAAATGTCACTCTGGCCAACGGACTCACATGGGTCTGTGGCTCACTCCAACAGGACTTAACGGCGTCGAATACATGAACCTCGTTGTTCCATCCCCAGAGGACGTCCTCCATCTGAAAACAAATGTTTAACACCAAGAGGTCATTGAAGAAGTATCAAAAGAAAACAGAACTCCAAGTAACGCATGTCACTGATATCCTTTTACTGCATACACCACACTGTTGGTATAGCGAATGTGTACAGACACCTGTGGCAGATATATAGTCATTAAAAAATATTACCCATGATGCTTCATCAACAATGAAGCTTCTGTTCCTCCTATCAACATTAGTCAGCAGTTTGCGACCATATCCTCCAAAGTAGATGATGCTGGAGAACATTCATCAAACATAATCACAATTACTATCATGCGTGAGTTCAGATGGTAACTGAGTCGTCAAAATCCCAAACAAGCAGCGCCTGTTTCTATTTCACTTATAGACTTACAGGTGTCTATAAGTGAAATAGAAACAGGCGCTGCTTGTTTGGGATTTTGACAAAAGGTTCTATCAGCTCAAGCTGTGCTTTTGCTTGCAGGGTGATTTTTAAGAAAGGAGAAGCTAAAAAGATGATTAAAGCCTAAAAACAAAACATTAAGATCATTGGTCATAAGGTCATTGCAACTCGAAATGGAAAAAGAACAAATTAAAGAATACTAGTAAGAGAAAATAACAAAAAGATTATGAGACAATTATGATTATATCTATCAAAATGACTCCTTGGTTGTTGTTAGTGAAACGTTTGACCTTTAATGCATGAAAACAATGAGTATTCCACTAGGAATGCAATGAGAAAGGACACCGAAACCGAATTCAAAGCTGCACACGTGTAGTTTAACCGGCAATAATGAAGCAGTAACTCATATGTTTACAGCTACAACTTCAGACCATAACAATGGAAACGTGTTTGTGGCGCTTACCTTTCGTTGTAAACCCAGCAGGACAGTTTGTCTCGGGGTGAAGGAGGAGAACCAATCTCATGCCTGATCTTCCTCCATGTGTATTTACCATCTGTCAGGTTGACACAATAAATCTGTTTGAAGGCAAACAGTGATCACTTCTTCATGTCAACTTTCTTCGGTCTACAATATGACATTCATCGTGTCAGTGTGCTTAAGACATTTTTACACATAACTTGGCGTAGGGCTGCACTATGTGGCACAAAGGCTTCTATCAATGAATTATTATTATTGCCAGCCCAACTATAGTGTTCATGGTAATTTAACAACACAACAACAGTTTTGATAAAACATGTAGTGGGAGAAAATCCATATTAAGGTGTGGAGTAATAGTCATCAGCCTCACCTCATTGGTTTGTCCATTGTGATCACAACCTCCAAATATGTACAAGTGCCCATTCAGAGAGCAGCCACAGGTGCCAGACATAGAGGGGGGGACTTCACCGGACATGGGAAACACTTCCCTTCAAAACCAGTGAAAAACAAAGGTGAATAAATGACATGACTCACTTATACTGTGACTCATTTATAACCACAGAGCTAGACAGCAGATCGTTGCTGGCAGGTGCTTATCAGTCCAAACGCAGAATTGTGACGTGCCTGTGCAGTGTGAATAAACTGTGGAAATCTCCAGACTGCGGTGGAGAAATGATTGTTAGTGTGCCAAACAAAAGTTGCATTTGATATTTTATTTTATATTCTTACCATGCGCCTCGTTCCAAGTCGTAGACCCAGATTTCATTGTTGGGAAGGAAAACTTCCTCATCCGCAATTGACTGCAGAGAATAAAAAATGTGTGTTACATGACATAAACAGGTTTAGTAGCAATACATAAATGCTATAAAATCATCAATATGGAGTAAAAATGAATAAATAAATAAATTGCAAAACCATATGTTAAATAATCTGGAAATGTACACAAAAACATATAAGCATGATGGTTTGCTCGTTATATATTTTTTGTAGTGTGTTTGTGTATCAAAATTAAAAATCTGTAATATTAATATATTATCAATTGTGCATGAGCATTTAACGCTGTCGTTTTATCTGTAACCATATGTGACAAGCAAGTCCAATAGAACAGGCAGATTCACACCTTAATTCTGCGTTGAGACCTGGAGCATTTTGTCATTCATGTATTTTAACAATGGTAATAAAGTGTTTTTTAAGATTGCCATTATTTATTTATCGGTAGAGCATCGGCGGTCAATTACCTTGTTTTGGCCTTAGGAATATTTTTGTTGTCTGCTTATTGATTTTTCTTTAGTTTTTTTTTTTCTGTCTAGTCCGCCAAAAGTGGGTAAACAAAGTTTTGCCCTTGGAGCGGCCTAGTTTCCTTGACTTTGAATGTTGTTTTTTGTTTTTTGTTCAGTTTATTGAATGAATGTGCCTGCTGCTGTCACTTCTCTGTTAACACAGAAGTAAACGGTCGAGATGTGAGAATATAAATTACAAACCTAGGTGTATGTAATAAAACGCGTCCTCCTTGTTTATCACTCCTTATGCTAGTGACTAGTGGGTGTGCCACAGATAACTAGTGTATATACAACACGAGCCTGCATTGTATGTTAGTAATATGTTAGTAATAAGCAGCATATACTGTAAAGGCAGGAGGCTCAACCTGCTGGAGGAACATTGCATGTCACGTGAAGCAGCACGAGCTAAAACAAGTAAAACAGCTGTTTTTGCACATAGATGGATTATCTGTCAGTCACTTTAAGTTTAGCTCACCAGGTAACCCCCCCACACATGGAGCAGGTCTCCCTCCACCACGGCCGTGTGTCCGCTCCTCTCTCGGGCCACCAGCTCCGAGTCCATGACGCGCTGCTATTAATAGAAAGAGCCGCGGGTCTCTGCGCCTTTTAGAAAAACAACAATCGTGGAAAAATGTCACCGGGTCATGCAGTTTTACCAAAGGGAACTGGAGGGGCGCAAAGCAGGCACGCCTCGCATACCAGGCTCCCCTTGTTGTTTAGGATCAACAGGAGTTAATTAAACGATGTGGTGTTTGTTGGTCTAACCTTAAATGTTGGTCTAACCTGACATGTTGGTGGGTCAAACAACAAACATACGGGATGAACGTTATAGAAATTTGACTATATTACATATTTATTCCACGAAAAGACTTTAAAAAAAACATACTCACGCGCTGCTGTTCTCTTTTATTTATCGTGATGTTTGTTCGTCATCTTGTGGAAAAAACAGCAGCGATGAACACAATGTGTGTAGTTCCTGTAAGCTGCGTCAACACGGTTCAGAGTGATGTACAGCTTCCGGTGCTTCTTGCTTGTCAAAATAAAAGCCTTCCTGGGTTCAAGCTCTTACCAGAAATAACGAGCGTGGCGCGTGATTCTTCAGCGGAAGTGATGAAATGCAACCGGAAGATGACGTTTAGCGCCAAATCTTGAGTCGGAGAGTAACAACCATGGATGTCGCTCGCAAAATAAAGACGAAAGTGTCCGCTGGCTTCAAGATGCGGGGACTTATACTAAGACCGTATGTATTTTAGTAACAGCTGACTGTTGTTGTAATAATGTGTTTTGGTAATAGTTTAAAGTGCATTGACCTCATTGAAGAAAGAACGCTATAATACCTCCAACCGCTTAACGCAGACCAGATAATCTGCTTGATTTAATGATAGTGGCAGGAAATAAACAATACTAAGTCTGTAACACAAAGCTGGTTGCAACTTTGTGTAAATATCAATGTTTTCCTAATAATTTCGTCTTCTACTAAATCCAAGAGGTGCCCGCTAGACAAGGTTACATTTACTCCCTAAACCTTACACGTGAAATATCTATTTAATTGCTCTTAACCAATTTTTAACCATAACCAATTCCAGCTAACTTATACAACACCAGGTTGCAGGGATTCATTTGAATTACTTCCCCTCACTGACACATTAAGTCCTGTCATGCTTACACTTCCAATGTGCCAGCTAAAATGTATGTGGCGATATATCAAACACACAGTGATCATTTTGAAATATGCGCCTTAAGATGGAAGTAACAATAACAACGTGTGCACGTGTTCTCGTTTCTTCCCAGGGATGCCAGCAGATATCTAGTAGAGGTCCTGGAGTCCGTCAGTGCCTCTGAGCTGGATGATGTCATGGAAAAGGTCTTGGATGCAGTGGAAAAACAACCACGTACGTACAGATCTTTCATCACTGTGTTGGAGAGGAAAAAAGGGCAGTGTGTTACTGTGTTTCGCTGAAGCGCACTCGCATGGTGGTGACCACGATGTGTGTTTTCCATCAGTGTCCTCCAGCATGATCGAGCTGTCGGTGGTGGAGAGCGCAGTTCAGGATTGCACTCAGTCTTGTGACGAGACCACGTACGTGTTGGACTGTTCACCAGAATTTCCGATGTTGAATTACAGTAAACTAAAAGTCGTCTCTCTCTCTTACAGAGATAATGTTTTTAACATTATTGGAGCCTTTGATGTGCCCAGATACATTTACAGCGTAGAGCGGAAGAAGTTTGTGCCGTGAGTAAAAGGAGCCGTTTGTTAATTGTGTCAAAAACAACCTCCCAAATGGTGTCCACTAGAATCGTTTAATTGTTGTTCGTATTAGACACATCTGTTACGCTTTCAATGTGCTGCAGATAAACTTTTCATTTTGGGGTTTTCGATCAGCATAAGCATGACGAGCCACTCGGCACCCAGTCTGTGTGGTTTGGCCAAAGACAAAGCTGAACTGTTCAGGGAGCGCTACACCATCTTACAACAGGTCAGTGACTTTCTGGTCATTATTCCATTTTTACAAGGCGGGGTTTGACCCGCTAGCGTGCGCTGCTGTTAGCTATTGATGGGCAGCTGCATTTACACGGACATGTCTTTTGTAGCGTATCCATCGGCACCAGCTCTTCACCCCACCTGCGATAGGAGCTGCTGTTGAAGAGGGTCAAAACAAATTCCAGGTAACTAAACACCAATTGAAAACAAAAGCACATTACTGTTTTGCATTGGACTAACGGGGTTTTTATCTATTCTTTTTTTTTGTCTCTTGTCTTTTCCAGCTTAAGACAATCGAAGCACTTCTTGGAAGCACAGCGAAACTGGGAGAAGTGATCGTACTTGGGATGATCACACAACTGAAGGAGGTAATTTAGTGAAGATCCTGGAAGCTTTTCTGTTTTTCGCTCAATGTATCTATGTATCTAGTTTCTAAAACATTTGTTGAATTTCTTTTTAAAGGGTAAATTTTTCCTGGAGGACCCAAGTGGAACAGTAGAGCTTGAGATGTCCAAAGCAATATCCTTTCATACGCTGCTTGAAGCTGTAACAAAATACTATTTCATATCTTACAAAATTGTTCTTTAACTCTGCTCTCACCAGTTTCACAACGGCCTGTACACAGAATCCTGCTTTGTACTGGCCGAGGGTAAGATAACTAATATCACTATGACTGCAGTATAGAAAACAGTGGCAGTAAGACCATGAAAAGGACGTATTATTACATACATACAGCGATGGTTTTGTCCTGCAGGTTGGTACGAGGACTCTGTTTTCCACGTTAATGGCTTCGGGTTTCCACCAACGGAGTCATCATCAGGCACGAGGTCAGTGGATTGGAAAGTGTTCAGACGGATTCATTCAAGTATTCATTTTAAATGATTCTGTCTTCCAAGTTCAGGTTCAGCATTAAGTCACCTTCACAGAATACTTGACTCTTGAAGGTATTATTTCGTATTATCAGGGCGTACTACGGCAATCTGAACTTCTTTGGTGGTCCATCCACAACTTCTGTGAAGGCTTCAGCCAAGCTGAAGCAGCTGGAGGAGGAGAATGAAGATGCCATGTTTGTAATTGTTTCTGATGTGTGGCTGGACAACGTTGAAGTGATGGAGAAGCTCAACATGATGTTCTCAGGTCTGGTGTTGCATTCAGTCTAGATTTTACGTGTTCATATTACGCACCAGGTGAATTCCTCTAACTTTTTCTCTTTTTTTCTCACAGGTTATGCTTCGATGCCTCCCACATGTTTCATTCTGTGTGGAAACTTCTCTTCTGCCCCGTATGGAAAGACACAGATCAAATCACTCAAAGGTGACACTTTAGGATCCTCATCACTCATAACATTCTCTAGATTTTGAGATCTGTGTGAAATAAAGAGACGACCTTTCATAATCTAATGGCTTTTTCTCCTTCTAGACTCATTAAAGGCTCTTGCTGACGCTATATGTGCGCATCCCAGCATTCACAGCGGGTAGGACTTGATAGTTGTTTTTGCGTTGTAGTGGGAGTCCCTGTTTCGTTCATGCAGTGCACATGCAGGTTGCATCTTATGTTAGCAAGAAAACTCCAGAGGGAACTTGTATTCATTTGAATGGAATTTGTTCCCCCTTATCCAACCAGCTGTCGCTTCGTATTTGTTCCTGGCCCTGAAGACCCGGGTCCAGGCAACATACTGCCACGGTAAACATTCACAGACAACCGCTATTCAACATCATTGTGTGTTTGGTTTCGTCGTTTGGACGATTTTGGATTGATATGTTTTCTTTAGGCCTCCTTTGGCAGATTACATCACAGAGGAGTTCAGACAGAGGGTGCCATTTTCTGTGTTCACTACTAACCCGTGCAGGTAAAACATAAACACAAAAGTATCACAAAATACTCGTGATCGGGCATCTTGTGTACACGAGGTGGGTTTGTAAGCCAACTCCAGGTGGCCTGCTTTGTTTTCCCTGTCAGGATTCAGTACTGCAGCCAGGAGATGGTCGTTATCAGGGAAGACCTGGTCAACAAGATGTGCAGGAACTGCGTCCGGTTGCCCAATAACAATCTTGACATTCCAAACCATGTGAGTTTCAGCTGCTCAGAACAAACATCCATGCTGACAGAAAGTCCTGAGCGAAACAGTGGTATTTGTACTACTTTAATTTGGCGCTAAATTGGTATTATCGTTGTCAGAGGGTTCACTTTGTTTTCATTTTAATTTTTGTCCTCCAAGCTTGAGATGACACGGAAAATAAATGAATGAGTTAACCCTACATTTTGTAAAGAATCCAAAAGTTTCCACACAGTCGTGAATTCAATGATCATTAACATCAATTATGGGTCATACGGTCCTCTTGTATTAAGAGATTTTATACTAGAATTAGAATACACTAACTAATATATATGAGTTTTTGCTGAAAGGATCATTGTAAACTACTCCGAAACAATTTGAAATGTCCTCCTCTTCTTCCCAGTTTGTTAAGACCATCTTATCCCAGGGTCACCTGACTCCACTGCCCCTGTATGTCAGTCCTGTGTTCTGGGCGTACGACTACTCCCTGCGGGTCTACCCAGTTCCAGATGTCATCATATTTGCAGACAAATATGACCCATTCAGCATTAAAAACACAGACTGCCTCTGTGTGAACCCGGTAAGAAACAGACAATGACAAACAATATGATATTTTAAGTCACGTCATTGTCTGATCTCACCTGATGTTATATTTATTATTGTATTTATTTGTCCGTTCGTTTATTTATTTATTTATATAGGGCTCTTTCCCAAAAAGTGGCTTCACATTCAAGGTGTACTACCCATCCAACAGAACGGTTGAGGACAGGTGGGATGTGTTCTTGAGATTTCACTTTACTCTCCCCGTCATTCACCATAGATAACTGTAGTTTTAACCATCACACTAATCAGTTCTGTTTTTGTGTTTGCAGCAAACTTCAAGGACTCTAAAGAGCATCATGGATTAGGATGGAGGGGGGGGGGGGGGGGGGGTCTGTCAATTGTCTTGTACATGGCTTGTGCATGATGCTGTATCCCTTGAATGGATTGGTAATCAAATAGCTGCTTTTGTATGTTTTATTTTGTATGTATTTGTACCATAGATCTGTATGTATATCTACCTGCCTTAAATAATAAAGGTTTTAATCATTTTCTAGAAAACCCTGACATATTTGTATATGTATAATGAGAAATCTCTAAAGCAATAGTCTAGTATGCATCTCTTCAAACGTAGTCTATAGTTTATGGTTTTGAATTAAATTTAGATTATTTATTTTCATATTTGCAATCAATGGACTATTGATCTATACCCCGTTATCAAAGGCAAGTACTTTACTTTGAAAATCTTTTTTCAATGTTGTCGAGTTGTTCTCTTGACGGATGCTTTGACTCTTTGTACTCGTGTTACGCAAAGCGTTCAAGAGTCGTCATTCGATAGAAGATAAAAACAAGTTCATTATCACCGCTCATAAGGTCGGAGCAAACCTTAACAGGAGACCCGATCAATACAGTATCAATATATATTATTGATCGCGTTTCCTGTTAAATTTCCACTCCGCCCTTATCAAGATGGCGGATTGAGGAGGACGACAACTTCCGGTCGTGCCCCCGTGAATCTTTGTGATGACCGCGGTAAACAAACGGCGTAGCGGACCGCTTTAGACGTCTGCAGGAAAACCAAACGCCAAACACCTCGCCCTGACAAAACAAGGTAACAGCTGATGGCCCCTCGACCGCACTGACATGTAGGCGCATTTTAAGAGCATTTCCGACATCCGCGTCTTTGGACTTCTTTGTATTTGACGTGGACTTGGACCGAGCTTAGGTAAGACGTGCTATCGATTTAGAACCCTGAGTAGACGAGCCGGCAAAGTGGGTCAACGGTCAAGTGTCTCTGCTAACGTTAGCTAACGAGCCGCTAGCAGAGCCACTAGGTGGACGAAGAATGGACGTTTGACAAGTCATTTTCTGACATGTATAGTTAAACATTCGTAGTTCGTTTTCAATGTGTGTTTTTATTGAGAAGAAAACATAAATAAACTACGTTATATCAGTAAATTCTTTCAGCTCCAATATGTTTGGTCTCTGACAGTAGAAACCGACATGGCGGAGATGGAAGATATCGGAGATCTGCCAGCTGCTGAGGAGGACAACGACTCTGATGGTGATGATGACGACGATGATGATGATGAGAGACTTTTAGCTTGGATGGTAGATGACGACATGGATGATGAAGACGAGGAGGAGGAGGAGGAGGAACAACCCTTGGACTCGGAAGCGTCGGGGTCGTTTGAGCCGGAGAGCCCAGCTGAGCGCAGCGGTCACATAGCGGTAGTGGACAGAAACATCATGTATGTCTGGGGGGGATATAAGGTGAGGCGACGAGTACAAAGATGTACACAAATCCAAACTTTAACTGTGTATGTGTTGTTGTTGTTTTTTTTACTTCACTGCAATATGCTCATCCATTTAACATACATTCTCCCCCTGCACAAGAACGCTCAAAACCACGGATTCTTTGACTTGTATCTGCCGAGAAACGAGATCTGGATTTACAACATGGAGTCTGCGGTGTGGTAATGGCTGCTTTTGTATCAAGTTGCACGTTGACACCGCTGTCCTCGCCGATGGATTTATGTGATTTGCACCAGAAGAAGGCAGATAGAAACCACTGCAATGTTCACAGGACGAAGCAGGTAGCTGGAGGCAACCTGCACACATCCATGTCGGGGAGCTGCGGCGTGTGTGTGGACGGAGTTCTCTACTTATTTGGAGGTCATCACGCCCGGGGAAATACCAACAGGGTACATTTACATGCAAGAACATTTCTTAAGACCCATTTGTACATGAGACGTTGAATCGGGTCGGCTGACTGTTTGCGATTCTATTTCTGAACGCCGGTGTGCTGATCTGTGCTCTGCAGATCTACCGACTGCCCCTTAGAGCTCCCAGCCTGGTTTGGGAGGAAATGAGGGATCTTAAAGGGCTTCCTCCATCCTGCAAGGACAAGCTCGGGTGCTGGGTTCAGAAAAATAGGTGAGGGACAGTCGACTGTATGTTCAGATCATGTTAATGTGGCTATTACGTTTAGGACATGGGGTCACGTTAACCATGGTACGACTGTCTAATACAAAATAAGAGAGTAGTCGCAGACTGTTAATCTTGGGACACATATTTTAAGTGATTTTGGTCTGATATCGTCTCCACAGACTTATATTCTTCGGGGGCTACGGCTACGCTGCGCAAGGGGCTCATCAAGGGACTTTTGAATATGATGAATCTACTTCGCAAGTGGTAAACAAAAATAACTTCACGTGACAAAAACCTAACTGGAGTTACATCCTTCTACCAGTGTTCATTTGTGAGTCTTTGCGTTTGCTGCTGCAGTGGGACAGCCCTGGACGAGGCTGGAACAACCAAATCCACATACTGGACCTGGAGACGTCTACATGGAGCCAGCCCAACACCCGGGTAAACACACGCACGACACAACCTTCAACTTCATCACAGTCACTCTCTATTTACCCAACCTCTCTCATCGTCCCCGTCCTCACCCAGCCAGAAGGGTTTGGCTTATAGAGGACAAGTAACACAAAAACTGATGGACGCTGACTATTCTCTCCGTGTTGTGGCCCGATGTAGGGGAACGCCCCATCACCCAGAGCAGCTCACGCTTGCGCCACAGTTGGCAACAGAGGCTACGTGTTCGGGGGGCGATACAAGGTAAGTTCTAACTAAAGGGTCATAAACCGCGCAGCCGCTCAACGCGTGTGGACGAGTGATTCATTCCAACTGCCGTCTCATTTGGGCCGCAGAACTACAGACTGAATGACCTGTACTACATCGACCTGGACACCTGGGAGTGGCATGAAATGTTAGTGTTGACCCGTTTTTATTCAAATAATAACAGAATAATCAGAAGACTGAAGATCAACATTCGTACTCGCGTGTCTTCTCTGTTGCAGGAGCGTTCCACAGCAGGGGCCTGTGGGTCGGTCCTGGCACTCCTTCACTCCCGTGTCGCCCGACCACATCTTCCTATTTGGAGGTTTCACCACTGACCGAGAGACACTGAGTGAGGCCGGCACCTGTTCCCCTCTGCCACCTCCAAATGCTCACTGGTCTCACAGTTTTTCCCCTTTTACCACCTTTTTCAGGTGATGCTTGGCTGTACTACGTGAGCAAAAATGAATGGAAGCCCTTTAAACACAGTCACGCAGAGAGCCCGAGGTACACCTAATCTTCACGCAAACACACAGCCGGTCTTTTGCCCCTTTCTGATTCTGATAGTTGTCGCTGTGTGTGTGTTTCAGACTGTGGCACACGGCGTGCTCTGGTCCTGATGGGGAGGTCTTTGTGTTTGGAGGGTGTGCAAACAACCTGCTGTCTCAGCTAAGAGCTGTGAGCTGCAAGACCGTAACATCTTAACATAACACACATTAAACGTCTTCTAGTGAATTACATTTTTTTTTCTCTTTGCTGGACAGGCTCACAGCAACGAGTTACTGGTCTTCAACGTTCAGCCCAAATCACTGGTCAGGTGAGTGTGAATCCGTTTTTACAGCTGAAGCGGCGATGGTTTCCTTATTTTTGTATTCTCATATTTTCTTTTCTCCGTTGGCCAGATTCTGCATGGAGGCCGTTCTGCAGCACAGGGAGCGTCTGTCTAGTTACTGGGACTGTTTACCTAAACACCTGCTGCACAGCCTCAAGCAGAGAATGACCCGCGTCAACACACTGGGCTCCTAAGAGGAAGCTGTCAACCGTGTCCAGAGGATTACTGGAGTGTATGCATGTATGTATGGGTGATATTTACTCCGTGAGGCGCGTCGTCCTACGGAATCATTAGTTTAATGCGTGTGTGGGCGAATACAAAAAGACATTTTTGAAGCAATGGTGAAGAGCTGCAGAGTTGTTGGGAACGGGTCCCGCTCTGGCACGCTACAGCTTAGAAATAGTGTGCAGCCTTTGAGGGGATCTTGACAGAAATGGAGTATATTTGCTTTTGTGTAGAACCACTTGGAAAGATGTTGGATCAGTCTGAATAGCGTTTCCTTCCTCAGCCCCGTAGTTCTGACATGCTTAGCATACGGGAGACTTTTCTGTTGGTTGTCACTGGCTGCATGCAGCCAGATTCTACACACTGGACCTTTTTTTTAATGCCTAATGTCCAAATTAAATTTTGTTCAAACGAGGCGCTAATAAGAGCGGTATGATCAACCTGATTTTGAAGTGGATAGAACACCCCTCTCGGGATCCGCTTTTCATGAAGACTACTGAGTGAAACCCTGTGAGAAAATAAATGTCATTGTTGAGGCAAAAACATAGTTTGGAAAAGAAGCCAGAAGACTGAGGCCTCACTCCTTTGTTCTCATCCCGGCCGGAAACGAAGAATCAGAAGTCAGCTTGCTTAAATTCAAAAATCAAAGTATTTAGTATTTAACTAAACAACGTTATAAGGAATACAATTACAAAGTGAAATAAAAAGCGAACAGTAAAATATTTCGCAAAATAGAGAATTCTCTGAGCAAGTCTAAAGCGACTTATGAAAGCGGCTGCAGGAAAATTCTGACAGTCCTTTCCCCGCTTTGATCCTTCCATCTAAGACAGTTCATGTGGTCCAATTCTCAAGACATTTGCCTGAGTTGGCTGCCTTACATTAAGTTGTTCATTTACTACCTGACAGGAGAAAAAACTCCCAAAAAAAACCCTTTGGCGATAAAATTGGGAGAAATCCATAAAGGACGGCAATTAGCATCCGTCCCCAGGTTTTAACATCACATTGTGACAGAATGTTAATGTGTACAGTGTTTATATGATTTAAATGACTACATTGGATTCAAATTGCATTCACTTCATCTAACATTTAATGTGGTAACTAATATCTAACATCACAAACTACAATTCTAACACTAAACATTAACACGTATTATAATTTCCACCACTAGGGGTGACCTTCTGGCTTAAATCCCTAACAAGACTAAAGCTCATCCTGCAGGTGTAACCAAGTAGACTTCTGTTCCTTTTTTAAAACAAAAATATGCCAGTTAGTGAAAATGTAGTTTTATTTGTATCCACAAATGTATAGAGCTCAAAAAGAGTATCTCCTCACCAGACACAGCGGGTCAGGGATAAAACAGGTTTGCTTTTCAGGGAGCCCGTATCTTCAAATGTTTGGCATGATCTTTAATACAGATGTTTGCTAAATCTCAACAGTAAAAGTCCTATCTGACAAGATCTCCTCTGAAGACACAAATGTTAATCTTTATTTATAAAAAAGTCTATTTGAGGAAATGTGTGGTTTCTTTATTCTGAAAATGGCGCTCGGTGGCTCCAGTACCATGTCAATTTTTTTAAATCAACTTGCCGGTGTGTTTGAGGCTGAGCCACATAACACTGGAATTCCTATTGTCAATAGGCTTTGTTTGTATTTGCCTGGTTTGCACAATGTTCTTTATTGTAAAAATATGATGCATCTTTTCATTCATACTTAAAGAAAAAAACATACCATTAGTTGTGTTCTGTTCAGCTTTGTTGAATTACACGTTTTCATTCCAAACAAATTGTTGGTGAACAATTAAAATCAAAGCTAAATGTTGATATCAACATTTCCAGCAGGGAACCCTGCTGTTATGGTTCAGTGCTTGAAATGTAGGTGAAGTCGGCACAATCCCACAGTTCTGTGTCTCTTATTTCTTCTTGACAGCAAGAAGGTTTGGAGCAGACACCTTAACTTTTCCTGGCATATTTCTTGATAGATCAGTGTCCTGAAACACAAGATATCAGGGGCTTAGTTTGAAACCACTAGCACATGGTAAATAATTACACATTACAGACATTATTGACAAATATTTTATATATTAAAAATATATTATTAAATATTTATAAATTGTTAGGACACTAAAAAGTGACTTCAAGCCTCTTATTTTGTCCAAAGCTATTCCACTTAAATCAAACTTTTTTATGATATACTAGTCACAGTATTATATGTCATCCAAAAAGCACAAGATGTTGTTTGACATGTCAGATTTCTGAGTGTGTCAGAAGTTGGCAGTAAGTCTTTACCTTGACGCTCCGGAACAGGTCCTTCTCTCTGGTTGAGGCATCTCTGACTTTCATGAAACTGAGAACTGCAGTGCGTGCAGCTGGTCCAAAAAAAAGAAGCAAAACAATAAATTCCCCTGAAAAGAAAAACATTAAGCAGATTTTTTTGACTACTGGAATGGATCACTACGCTTACCTTTTCCTTTCTTCTGAGAACCTGGTGTCAATTTCACCTTGTGCCTGTGAGGAACAAAACAAACGTACTCAGCCCTCGGAAGCTTCCCCTGGTCTTTAATAAAAGGTCCTTTTGTACATACTTGTAGTTGGAAAGCGCCGTGTACGGCGCACAGACCGGCACAGCAAACAGCAGCACATCTTCTGGATGAGGCTGACCCGAAAGAGAGGTGAGCAGATCCTCTGCCTCCTGGAGCAGCCAAAGGAAAACCAAAGTTAAACCAGTGCAGTCATATCGACATGAAGGGGGCGGGTCTCCGTGTTTCTACGGTAGACCAGAATGGACAAACCTACCACAGGCTACAGAAAGGGCCTACAGAGTTTGTATGTTCCTTCCAGGGCACCGAAGTTCTCCACAACCATTGTGTAGGTCGTATTGAAACCACGGTATTATCTAATTATGTAGTGTGTGGTATTGCCCTGGCATCCAGCAGCGCCATACAGAGTTTTATAGTGGTCGTCCCAGATAAATCCGATCACCCATGTAAGATGTCGGGGTCGGGCAGAAAAATGTGTTCATGCATTTGTTACTTCTGGACTTGATTAGTGCGATTCCTCATTATCGAGTTGCTCTTTTCAGTCTCTCCAGTTGGTTCAGAATGCTGCATTAACTGACACTGTGGCGTCTCAAGGACTTTACAGTTCCATACTAACGTGCTGTTAATACAGTAATTACATCTTAGAGGAAATGCTATTTATTTAAGTTTATATTGAAAACCCACCTCTGCTCCGGGGTTGTCCTGGTCCGCCTCGTCTTCCTGAAGGACGGAACGCCGTTCAAAAGGGAGCACAGGGTGGTACAACATGTTTGTTTTGGCAGGTAACTCTACTAGCATCACCGCACACACACACACACACACACACACACACACACAGGACGCTTCAGACAGCGTTATTGCCTCTTCATGGGGTCACGCACCTTGTCGTCCTGTTCAGCAGAAGCTCCCTGCTCTCCGGGCTGCTTCTCCTCTGCTACTGGATGCTCTGGTTTCTTTGCTGCCATCTCCTCATTTCGAGGTTTCTGGGGTTGTTTCTGAGGGACTGGTTTCCTGACGGGCTCGTCTTTCCCCTTCCCCTTCTTCCCTTTCTTCCCCTTATCCTTCTCTTCCTTGGTGGAACCAGCTGACTACGGAAGACGAGGGTTTGCGCCGTTATTCTTTGCTTCATTTTGAAGGGCCGCGCACATGACAGCTGTGTGGACGTGCGTTGCAGTTACTGCTAAAGGGCAGAACGTGAGTACGACTGGGCTTTTTATTCATCCTCACCCCAAGCAGCTGCATCATCAGCTCCCTGTCCTCCTCATCCTGGTCTTTGTACTTCTCTTTGATCTTCTTTAACTTGTTCTGCGGTCGACAAGATAAGCGGACAAAAACAACACAGATTTATAGAATCGGTCAAAGATAAACTCCCTATCACATGAAACGCACTAGGTGAGGGATTATTTAAAAATGATTAATACTGTCTCCAAAATTTTGCGGTTTGTAGAAAAAGTTAAAGAACATTAAGAACGGTCACTGTTGTTTTATTCCTTTTTAGTGTTTAGTTACTTTTGTCTTCTTAATGTTTTCTCCCCTGGAAATATTGGCAAATTCATAGCCGTGTTGTCAGGTTTATATTGCTTTGGTTTACATTGAGGAACAGAACACCTTATCTTATCAGACGCTTCTCTTACCTTTTGACCTCTCTTGGGTGGCGGCTGGGAGGAAACTCCTCCACCTTTGGATCCCTGATCAACTGCTGCTCCAGATGACGTAATCTCACACTTCTCCTCAGCGTTGCAACCTTCCGGCTTCTTCTTCTTCTCCTCTCTAGTGGTAAAGACAAAAAAAAACGCTGATTGTGTCAATGACTAGAAACCGTTTCGTTAAATCAATTCTCCGACATTACGCCGATTGTGTTTTTTTTCCTAAACCGACCACATGTCGGTTGAATGGTCCTGTATTTCATTCATGAATTACCTTCTTTTCTTGGCAGTCATGTGCTTCCTGCCCTGCGAGTCTGACTCAACCTGAAAAGACATTAATGCATCAGCATGAAGTGATGAACCTGGTCAGGTGCTTGAGAGGACCACTCTGTTTTTTGTGATGGTCTTTCACGTTCTCAGTGTGTGGACGGTCTTCTTTATATATATACAGATTGTATTTTGTATGAAGGGAAAGAGACAAAACAATATAACAGAAATTACCTGAGTGCTCAGTTCCTTTTTGAAACCAGGGTTCGGAGTATTCCTAGAAATAAAAAAAAAACATTTTCAAGGAGGTACCATTCGTTATTCTGTGCAATAGTTGAACTTTTTGGTTAGTAGAGCCTTGAGTAGGACCTCCTCATTCTCAATTATTAGAAATATTACCTGCTGGGCTGTAAATGAGACAGGGAGATGGTTGTGTCCGGAAAGCTGAATTCCTCAGTCTCCTCCTTCATCTCTCCACTCTTCTCGACCTCTCCCTCCAAGTGGTCCTCTTTGGGAACGGCGGCCAGTCCCCCATTCGTGCTGTTATCCCCCCCGGCCACTTGGTTAATCGTCTCTTCCATCCCTCCATCTCCCGCCGCTCCTTCCTCACACTGATCTTCGTTGCTGCTGTCATCCCCTGCGGAGCGACAGAGCCGGCCGTATCACCCTTTTGCAGTAGTTGCACACAGTAGATGAAGTTGTTCGTTTTGTGTGCGCTACCTATCAGCTCTTCGCCCTCCACCAACAGCTCGGCCGCTTCGGACGTGACTTCCTCCATGTCCTCTTCCACAGTCTTCACCTTTCTCTCGCCTCTGTGCCGGAACACACTTTGCTCATCGACCTGCACAGAGTGACGAGTGTGACCCTCAATCGTTTGAGGACGAATACATAGGAAAAGTACTTCCAACTCAGGATAGTATTTACCTTGAAGAGGAATCCGAAGCCCATAATCAAGTAAGAGGGCGGAAGGAAGTTTTTCTTTCCTGGGAAGAAATGTCAAATGTTCCTCGTTAGATGCTGTCATATTTCTCACATGTTGTTCTGGTGATTTGGAATAAGGTAAACGCCTTGAATTTTGTGTGTCATACCTCTGATCATGAAACTTCCAGTGGTCAGGTACTCTCCGGTGGGAGCCGATTTAGACACCTGAACACAGATAATAGATATCGTCGCTACTTGTAATAATTTAAATTATGTAGATGTTCTGCCTGGCAGCAGTATAAAAGCTGTAAATATGTAACTATGTAAGCAATGTGATAATAGACAGAAGTAGGGAATAAGATAACTGCAAACTGGAATGTAATCAATGCACAAATAAGTTTTAAGTACGTTTGCTAAGGAAGAACAACACAAACGACACATGTTAGACCGCAACGATACACAATGAGGCTGGTCAGAAACACGACAGAGCTTTAGAGGTTAAGGTGGGTTATGATGCACATTTATGAAACGTTACAGAATAACCACACTTTTACCGTATGATGGTAGTAAAGACGACAAAAATATGAAAATATACTTGTTAACAGAAACTATGCCACCTTGTTCTAACAATGGCCGCAGCGAGCCAAGTACACTGTTGCCCTTACATAATATTATCAAATCACAATGGTCACTCTCAAGAGTTACACTTTCTAGTTCATGTACTACTTCTATATAAAATTGAGCCTCGCTGACTCACCTGATGATGATGGACCCACCAGGCGCTGGTGATGATCTTGGCATCCCAAGCAGCACTGTAGCACACGGACATAGTACCAGTTTCTGTCAGCGTGCGAGGGGGGACGGGCTGACCTGCAGCAGCAACATAGCGGAGCAGAGACAGGGTGTAAGAAGTCAAATCAGGTGTGTTGACAAACCGAAAACATCAGCATGGAAATGCAGAGGCTCACCTGAGGGGTTTTTGATGACACAGCTGGTCGCTCCGTGAAGGTCGGCGTGAACATAAATGTCACCTGACAAAGTAAAAGCACAAATGAGTGTGTGAACCAGCTCCACTTGGACGCAACGTACATACAAGTCCACTCATTACCAGCTCGGAGGTAGCGTTTGACAATGATCTCGTTCTGCTGCTGGTCCCTTCCTGCGATGATGAGATAATTCTCTGAGCTGATGAACCACAAAAACTTCTCAAACCTGCCAAAGGGGGAGAAATGGTTGAGAGGACAGAAGGCTCCAGTGATAAGTCCCGTGCACGTATCTGAATACGAGTCTGAATGTGTCGAACACATAACATAATGTAATGCGCGTCTCACCAGTAGACCTTCCGGGCCTTCTGAATGGTGGTGACGGTCTGCACCTCTTTTAGCGTTTGCTGTGTTTTTTTCTCTGCAGATTTCATCGCCTTGAATGACATGGAAGTAGAAGAACAGTGAACAATGTATGAAAACTATGATGACTTGCGAGGTGTCATGAACAGGAATAACCACCATAACTTGACCGGGACATTTAAACTGCAACACATCTCGAGTTTGCAGAGTGCATGAAGGATTACACTTTTCCTTTGACTGGTTTTAAAACAGATATCTTACCTTGCCTGCCGCTTCCATAGTTTTATGTTCTTTCTTTTCAGCAGTGCGTTTGAAGTCATAGTACCTACAAGCAACAATGACAGAGTCCGTCAACTGTGAGAGCAACACCACGTAATGCTTGATTCTACGTGTAAACCTACTTTTTGGCATTGGCGTAAGCCGACAGGCCAAGATCCACGTCGACTAGCGTGGGCTTGTTCCTTTGTAGCTTCTGTCCTTTGTCTTTATTTTTGTTTTTCTTTCCTTTCTCCTCCACTACCTCTTTTTTCTCTTCCTCTTCCTGGTCTTCCTCAGAAATATACGGGTTCCTGGACGGAAAAAACAAATACAAATGAGCCCAATGGTGTTCCGACAGTCCGAGCGTCCTGGCGGACGTCTGCATGGGAGGCGCTCACTTTAACAGCATGGTGATGTGGTTGGTCTGCAGCTTCAGCTCCTTGATGGCGCAGGCCACCGGGTCACCAGCGGCCTGAGCCTCTTTGACGATAACGCCGATCTCAGTCCAGTCCACCTGATTCGCCAGAGCACTGCGCACCACCTGCAGTGCCCTCTCCACCACAGGCAGGTTCATCTCCACCAGCTCTCCCTTTATCCTGTCCACCTCCTGCGGCCACACCAGACAAGATTTCACGACATTCCCGAAATGTGAAGATGAAATGACTGAACTTCCATTTGCACATCTCAGTCAATGCTTCTCAGTGACACCAACTTTAATGTGTCACAATTGCATACAGTCGGGAGAGCAGGAGCCATCGCGTGGCAGGAGTACCGACCTGTGTTTGGTGCAGGGCCTCCAATCTCTGCTCGTGGTCCCTCTTAACATTTTCCAACTTCTTAAGGGCTTGTTTCTCCTGCTGCAAGGCCTTCATGTCAATCTTCTGACTCTCCATCTTAGAAAAGAACTCATCCACTGCCTGAGTGACAGGGTGAGAGGGGATTCATATTACATTTATGCCAGAGGTTTGAATTCACATTGTATTTACTAAATCAAGCATCAATAAATAAGTATAATGTTTACCTTATCAAAAGTATCAAACTCCAAATAGGCGCTCTTTGCATGCTGGGCAAAGAGGAATGGGTGGAATTCATCATATCTGAAAGTAGACGTCATTGAGGTAAATTATTTAACAATATTATAAAGAAATGAATGCGGGGAAAAAGGCGTGGACCTACGTGAGCAGTTCTTCAACGGCTTTGCCAGGAGTTAAGCTTGGTTTCTTTTCACTCTTCTGAATGATGTAGCCCTTGCATTAAACAGAACGGAGACTTTTGAATACAACGTTACAGGATCCCACAACACGTTTCCTCACAGTAAATGCTAATTAAAGATCCCTCACTTTGCCACTGAAGTGTTGCGTTTTTTCCATATAGGTTTCAGCAATCTGCAGGGCTTCCAGGATTTTTGGTGCAACTAAAAAAAGCAGGTAAAACATGTTATCGCAAAACAGAACCTCGTCAGCCACTCGTCTTTGACTGCAATTAACCATAAAACAATCATCTTTATTTCCTCTACGATACCTGCATCAACTTGACCGTCAACCTTGACAGAGCCCGGCAGTCCCACCTCTATCAGACTGTGTTCGATCAGGGTGGCTCCATAGGCTGGAGGTGTGCGCAATAGACACAGGACACAATTCAGTGTGTTCATTTACTAAATAAATTAGGTTTACAAAATGTTCCTGTTTCAGTTTCAACGTCTCAGAACCGTTGCCTTGCTACTTACGAAGGTGCGGGTTGAGGACCCTTTTAACTTGCTCTCCATTTGGTGCTTGGCTGAGGATTTCAGTGAGTCTACACACAATGTAAAGGAACATCATTATATTCCACTGAAATAAATATAAATGTTCTTTTCTCATTCTGATGGAAGTCCATCTAGACCAAAAACTCAACAAGTACATATAAAGAAGCAGTTACCGGTCTAAACTGAGGAGCGGTTCGGGGGGCCGGGCGCTCTCCACAGGGTACCGCTCTCTTACAGCTATCTTTACATCTTCCGCTTCTGCTTCTGCTTCCGCTGTTCGAAACCTCAGCAGGTTCAGGATGGTGTACTCAAAGTCTGTGAGAATGACGTTACCCTGAATATGGATTTGGAGCGACCAACAAACGCACACAAGTATCAATATCGTGGGACTAGAACCAAGCTGAGAAGATCAGAGGTTTAATGAATGCAACTCGCAATGTTTTCTCACCCTGTCGTACAGTTCAATGATCAAGTGGTAGGCAGCCTCATCTGAACCGAACTGGATGTCAACAATCCTGTCGATCCCAAGCTGCTTAACCGCAGTCAACCGCCGCGACCTCAGGTGTTTTCGACACTACGGAGAGGTTTGCTTTAAACATTGAGTTTCATTCAAACTAATTCATCAATCAAATCCAGGAAAACGACCATAACGAGAACCTTTTACTGATAAATAATATATTTATATATTATATATATTGGTGTAAAGTCTGTTTAGGGATAGGACAAAAACATGTCACACGGTCTGGTTGATTTTCATCACACTGGATATCAAGGAAACAATGTTTTAGATGAAATCGGACTTTAATCATAAATCAATTAAAAACCTACAATATGATTCAAATTATACAGTTATGATTTCAACAACAGAAACAAACTTAAACAGTCTTATACAATGAAGAGGATGTTCTTACTTTCATAGCAAAGCCCGAAGGCATCATGTTCTTTGGCCATTCAAAGTCTGTGGAATGAATCCGAATCCCGGACTCAATCAGGATGACGGCTTTGCTGTCAGGTCTAGAACGAAGATGAAGAGATGAAGATGAAGAAGAGAACGAAACTGAGTTACACACAATGACTGAAAGGGATGGATGTGCCTATAACCACCATAGGACACATGGCCTCCATTACATTTCTCAGGAAATTACTGTACTTTTTACATTGGATTAACACGACTATTGCATGATTAACAAATGTATATTTTGTATAGAAAGTATATTGTGAGCTAATAGTGACTGGGGAGGTGTGCTGCAGACATCTTACTTTTATAACGTAAATCACATAGTGGAAACACTTGTTTGATTAAAATATATCAACAAAAAAACTTGAAAGCAGTTTCTTTATTTGTATAATATATATATATAACAAAGATACGTTTTGACCTTTAAACCATGGGAAACACAAAAACTAGAAACTAGAACTAAAAAACTAAACTGCCCCTACTTTTGCAGACGGATGAGATACGTCTTGTTGTCGATGTCATACACGTTGTTTACTCTCATGCCAAGGTAGCTGTGAAATAATGAAAGCATGATTAACATTTGTGGACAATTAACGACATGTTAGCTTAGCCATTCGGCTGGGCTTAATAACACTTAGCACCTACTTTGCACTTATCTCGGCAATAACTGCCCTGATATCCACGGTAGTGAATCTTGTTTTCATGGTGACCGTGAAAGCGGACTACGAGTAGAAACACTGATAAATTCACATGTCTAGTAGCTCGCTACATGAGCGAGGAACACATGAAGGGGAGCACTGAGCATGCGCACAAATGACGAGTCAGTTCTGTTTTCTACGGAAGCCGGCAAAGAGCAAAAAGCATCAGGTCGACGCCTTTTCCACACACCGGACACGCGCAAATAGGGTGCATTGATTGTGTGTGGGATAAAACAGTGCTTGGTAACGTTAGGCGACGACATGTATGCGGTGAACTTTATATATTTGTAAGCTCATGATAGGCTCTTTAAAGTGCACGAATGATGCACTACTCAAACTGGCTTATTGGGGTGAAAAACCGGGCAAGCATTCGAAATGCATGCAAAACACCACCTTACATCGATAGGAATAGAAGGGCAACGTTAAATGTTGATTTCCGAAACAACAATCCGCGGCCTGATGGAAAGACATCCGAGCAAACGGTCACAACCCACCTCTGGAAAAAAGGTAAGGCAGTGAATTATGCAGCTGTAAAAACATCGCTTTGTCAAATATCTGGGCCTGCAGCGAATAAAAGGCTTGCCTGGCGTGTTGTTTTAAATGCTAGGGCATGTTGTGCTGCATTGCTGCTTTTAAATGCATTTTGTTTTAATATAAAGCGGTTCGACCGGAGCGAGTCAAACGTTCAACCCGAGTTTCCAGTTTCCTCCTCGGGTCAGAGTGGAGGGCGAAGGCGTGTTTCGTTACCAAGGCGACGGTCAGCTAACAGAGCTGGCTAGCGGGGCTAAGCTAACGCTCTGTGGAGCGCGTGTCGTGTCCTTTTGACACTTTGATGCGCAACAACACGCCAATTTTTAGAGGAATTTACATTCCCCTTCCAGATACGCGTGTGTTCAATAACCGACGCACATGCGGCGGATAAGACACAAAGGAATGAACTGTGAGTTGTGACTTAATTAATGCGACCCGTTAACGGCCGAGTAGCGCGATGACAGACAGGCGTCCGTCGTTAAGGTTACTTGCTGTTTAAAGTGCTTTTCATTATAATAATGAGGTTCTTTGTTCTTTCCTGTTAGTCTTAATTAATATTTTAATTGTTTAGTTGTTGCCAAAAAGGGCGAACAATATGTCTGACACTGGCTGCACTTTAGCAGCAAAGACAGTTTCATAAGATATTTTATAAGTAATCTTTTACTTGTGTATTCATCAGTAATTCCCCCTGTTTTCAGACATTTCACTTATTTTTTTTCAAATTTGTCCAGGCTACAAAACAATCAAGAAAATTGGGGAAGGCACATTTTCAGAGGTGTTGAAAACTCAGAGCCTGAAAGATGGGAAGTTTTACGCATGTAAAACCATGAAGCAGAGAATTAACAGGTATGTGTTCTGCAACAAAAAGACGTTTCCTGTTCAGACATTGGTTTATTTTACCATATTATATTGTGTATGGACACCTGTAACATGAGTCAGCCGATTGATTCCCCCTTTGTTTTAAGTATCCTATTTGATGTCGACTGTCTTCGCCTTTGAAACTAGTAGTGATGAGTTCAAAATACCTCCGGTTGAAATTCAAGTGGTCAGTGCGTTGTTTTTTAACTTTAACTTTTAGATATGCGGTAAAGCAGTTATGTAGATATTTTACTTTACAATTAACTACGTTACACGTCAATTCCTAAGTGCAAATGTCATCTATCTCTGTCATCAAGTCTGGAGCACGCCAACAATCTGCGGGAAGTCCAGGCAATGAAGAGACTGAGCCCACATGCAAATATCATCCAGCTACATGAACTGATTTTGTGAGTACCACAGTGTTGTTTATAACAAAGTTATTGTATTGCCTTCACGTGGTTTCATGTGGCGCATCGTTTCAATCTAACACAATATTTCAGTGACAAAGAAACTGGAACTGTGTCTCTGATTTGTGAGCTGATGGAGATGAACATCTATGAGTTCATACAAGGTACGTCTGCAAGTGATAACAATTGGAAGCACACAATAAATAGTTAAAAGGACAAAGGAGAACCTGATGATGTAACTGTACATTGGAAACTGTTGGACTTACAGTGCTTCTTCCTCCATTCAGGAAGACAAACGCCGCTGTCTGATAATACAGTAAAGAACTACATGTACCAGCTTTGCAGGTCGCTTGAACACATGCACAGGTAGTTATGAAAAGTCTAATGAAACAGCACAAAGAAGATACAACATTAACTACATTGACAGTGTTTTCATGTCCTCTTTTTCCTTCTATTTTCTTTTACAGCTGTGGGATCTTTCACAGGGATGTGAAGCCAGAAAACATTCTCATCAAAGTGAGACGCATCATTATTATAATTTGCTCTAACAGCGGTAAAAAGAAGAAGTAGTAAATCTCATGTGTTTTAAAATTTGAACAAATTGCAGCAAAACGGTCTGAAGCTTGGCGACTTCGGCTCATGTCGCAGCGTGCACTCCAAGCCGCCGCATACCGAGTACATCTCCACGCGCTGGTACAGAGCGCCAGAGTGCCTCCTCACCGATGGCTACTACGGCTTAAAGATGGACATGTGGAGTGCTGGCTGTGTCTTCTTTGAGATCATGAGGTACTTCTGCACGGGAAGGACACAACATCTTACCTGAAATACGCATAGGACAACCGTTCATGAGTTAACGAGAGAGGATTGTGGTATTCAAATGATTTGAGTTACATGTGCAGTTTACAATGTTTTTTCCTTCGCTTGTTTGGTCTGCAACCACAGGCACAAACAAATGCCACGTCAATAGCTCTGCAGTCAAATACCTGTGTGTTTCAGTTTGAGTCCTCTCTTCCCGGGAACCAATGAGTTGGACCAGGTCGCTAAGATCCACGACGTGTTGGGGACGCCAGATCTAACGATCCTCCAAAAGTTAAAGCAGTAGGTGTTCCCCTTTTTTAAAATTAGTTATTTGAAGTGAGTCTGTGCATGTCTGTGAAAGAAATTGTGAAGATCATTTTTTATGTGCTTGGAAAGACCGACTTCTCCCGGGTTTCTTGTTGTCTGGCAGTTCCAGAGCGATGCTTTACAACTTCCCCCCTAAAAAAGGCAGCGGTATCTCCCGATTAGTCCCCCACTGCCCGGGTCCAGCTCTGTCCCTGCTCTACCAGATGCTCGCCTACGACCCCGATGAACGCATTACTGCGGAAACAGCAATGCGGCACACATACTTCAGGGAAATCAGGTAGATCCTGCAAACGAAGAATATGCAACTTATACAATCTAATCTATTACTGGGTAAACCGACTAAAGACAATGACTTTTAACATTTTTAGATACTCACCCCCCCCCCCACACACCTTCTCCCAGGCAAACAGAGAAGAAAGCCGAGACTTTTCACAGGGCATCTGGGACTATGAATGGACTGGAGAGCGTTGAGACGCACAACTCCTTCGACCACATCTGGCGGCCAGCCAGACCCGGCAAACAGCTGAGGGGAAGACACACGCGGCAAACCCCTTTGATATGCGTAAGTCAACTGAAGGAAAATGTCCAGGCCAGTATGAACACAGCTGATACCATCTGACACTGCCTCCCTCTCAAGCACAACATGAAACATGTGGCGGAGCCCGCGACCCGACGCAACGTCCCCCCTCGTCCAACCGAGCTACCCAAACTCAACCTGCTTTTGCCGGGACCACAGATGTCCTTCCCTGTCTCCGCCACGCCTTCCTTTACCGCCACCCACCGAGGCACTCTGCCAGCCATCACGTCGAAAAAGTGCCAGCCGCGGTTGGCCGAGGTAAACGCAAGAGTGCTGCACAGACACTGTGGGCTTTTTATATGATTGAATCATTCAGTCACTGAGGAGAGTCTAAGTCAAAACACAGCAGACATCATTTTATTGCATTTGAATGTTTTTTTCCTCTCCGTCCTCAGCCGTGGGACGACCCACACCGCGCCGCTTTCAAGTCCTTCTACTTACCACCTCTGGACAGGAAACGTGGAGGCTACTGAGAATCAAAAGCACTTTCAATATATTATTAAACATGACCTCCTGAACTGGATAGAGCCGTACTGTTGAAAACAAATTGTTGAGAGGACATTGTTCGGATGTTGAAATCTATGGAGCGACACCAACGTGATGAGAAATGCAGCAAATGACCGCCATGCCTATCGTGTTACGACTGCTCACATCAAACTGTACAAAGCTTGTACAATTCAGTGTAAAGGACAATATGTCGGCTGGAGTGTGTCTAGTTAGGACCTCAGTTTAACTCGGCCTAGTCAGGTGTTCCATGTTTACAACTGTTAAGAAATATACTTTAATCTGAGCCTTTTAAACACTCTAAGCAATAACACCCAGGGATTGGTGAAGGGACGAGTGGAGAAACAGATTGATTCCCACACTAAGTAGCTAGTGTTGTATCCATTATAAGTTTAAGTTCTATTGCTGTGTAGCTTTTGTCGAGCACCACGTGGTGAATGAATGCTGGGGCTCAAAAACAAATTGGACAGCAATAGAAATTCTTCTACCGGAGCTACTTGGTGTTTGGATCCACCTGTTTTAAGGCTTTGGACATTTCTTTGATCCATTAACTATCCTACCAGGCACAGAATGGATGTGTCTTTTTTATTGTTTCTCAGTGAAAAAGTAAGACATAGCTGATGAGTAACACGGTCAACTCTCTGGAAAATAGGGTGCCTTTAAAAAGTTCTCACATCCCTTAGGACGACTTCAGGTTGTGTTATTTGACAACTTTAAATCATAAATCGATGATGAATTAATATATAACAAAAGAAAAATGTTTCACTGATCAAAAGAAACAAAGGTCTCCAAACGTAATGACACATTTAGTTACATGAGACTGTAAAACATCAAAGTATTCGTCTCCTCGCTGCCACAGACCACATTTAATAATATAAAAAAAAAACAAGGGTGTGGTTTATTACTTTTTATAGACACAGTTCACTTGTGATATTCTTTCCAAATGCTGCAAATTAACTTCTCGTGACAAACGTACTTCAGATTTATTCTCCAAACACCGTTATTATTAAACATTGTATTTGGAGAATAATTTAAAGGCACATTGAACTGTAATGTATATAAATAACCCAATGCGGAAACAAAAGTTTTGGAGCGGTCCACAAATAACTCTGATCAGTTATGTATGCGATCTGTATTTTATATGGCCTTAATTTTAGGTTTTTAGGTTTTGTTCAGAATGTAGCTTAGCCAGTACTTCCAGTTAAAGAATTTCCGTCTTAATGTTTAATTCAGGGCTGTGGGCTCCGTAAACTGGACCGACTCAACATGAACTTTATCATGTTGGTTATTCCATTAAAATATAAAAAAGTTAAGTGTCCTTTGTATGATGTAATCGTTAAGGTAGTAAAGTGTCAGAGAAAAACATCTTCAAAATATGTATTTGCTTCACCAACTTCCGGTTGAGTGAAAGTGGTCACGTCTTCATGGCAGAAAAAGGAAATGGTTAAAACGCACTTTGCTGCAACAGGTCACGTCACCATGACGTTGTCAAAAAATATGATTTACAATCGAGGGTCATAATGACACTCAATTTCACAAATCAGTGAAATCAAATTTCACTGATTTGAACGTCTTCCAGGTCTTTTCCTCATCAGATGAGGTCATTTCAAATCTTTTTACCGTTTGTCCAAATTGCTTAAATGACATTTAATCTTATAAATAAATATGTCGTCCTGATTCCATGCTTCTATCCATCTTTAATCCTGAATGATCTAAATGTATATATTTTTAAATGGCAGTCTGAACACATGTGCCGTCCTCCTCGTTTACCTTTTTCTCACGTCCCCATGCTTCCACTGATTATCCCATTTTTAACATCACAACGCAATGACGTTTGGGTAATTCTATTGGGCAAAGTCAGCATCTAAAGCAGATTTAATAAAATGGTTTATAAAGGTTCAACATGTTTGCCTGAGCCACAACAATCTGACAATGAGTCAGCCCCAAATCCCCACAGAGTCTGAGGAGGTGGAGATTGGACCAAAGACGCTGCTTCCTCGCAATGCTTCAGTTTCCACACCGGAAGCATTGCACCTTTGTTATGGAAATACGAGTGAACAAAGAAAGGAAACAGAAAATGCTGTATTCAAGATTATTTTAATATTATTTATATGTATGCTTTAGAAATATAACTATTGTGATAAAACTGCCACTGGAGAAATGGTAGTTTGCTTAGGGCCCCATCAAATCTATTAATTACAATACGCACATTATAATACAAAGCAGATTTTAATCTGAAACAATATTAAAATAAATGCTCAATAGATAAAAGTTTATCCTTTTTCCTTCGCCTACTGTTATCAACCATCTGAGTTCTGAGCACAGCCAAAATGTAAAGCAATTTTCTTCTAATTAACTAAATTAAGTGCAAACATTTTTCTTCTTTAAAAAGACTGATTGCAGCATCGAACTTTATAGTTTCAGAGTTAAAGTGAAGAGGATAATAAAGCCGAGTGCAACAAGGCAGTCCTCCACTCTTTTGTTCCATTAGAGTAGTTATAAAAAAACAAACTAACAAAATCAGTGCAAAGTTGTTGACGGGGAGATTCTATTAAAAAAAAAGACAGAAAGGTGGGTGGAGATGCTTACACACTTGGTGGTAAAGGGATAGTTTATCCAAATAGCACATTTCAGTCAGTAACCTAACCCTGAACAGAGACTGGGCCACAGCAAAAGTGCACACAGATTACAAAAACTAAATTAACTATCCCTTTGGTCTCAAGCCTCAATCGTCTTGTTCGCATCCAACAATGGAAGGCTTAATTCCCAGAGATTTGAAATGACAATCGTCCACAATGGCACCACACTTTTTCTTGCTTCATTCCTCCTCTAGGCCAAGTGAGTGAAAAAAAAAAAAAAAAGGAAAGCCATCAACAAAATCTGGGAGGGTTGGAAAAGAAAAGGAAACTTGCAATGCTTGCAGGGTGAAGGGCAGCATCAGACTCTGGGTTGCAGTGTTCTTTAGCAGCAGAAATATTGTGGCTATACTACTGTTCCACTGGGAGAGCTGGCTTGGTTTTGGGATGACAATAAACCCTGGAAAAAGGAAAACAAGGAGATTTGCATTGGGAAAGTTGACACACTGTAGCAAAAATCAAGCAACAAATAGCTCATAAAAAAAGAGCCTCTTCTCTCCTCATCCCGGCGCCCTGCATCTGAAAGGCTGTGCGGAGCAGTCAAAGTGGAGGCCGAGCACACGGTGCAACTCTTTCTGCTTGATCAAGGCACTTCTAACGTACACGACCAGATCACACACTGTTTAGTAAATGTAGGGCATTACACGTGTATGCTTCTAAACACTACCATGGATTCTAACTGCCCCCTTTTTTAATTTAGTAGTTTCAAAATGTGTGCCCACTACTGTGTGGCGCCGTCATTTACAGCTGCTGGTGTACTAAATATCATGACATTATGAGTTTTCTGTTTGAGGACATTTCCAAAAGGAATCATCGTCTTTAGCACCTGTTAAAGTAATAACAATCTCACTAGATAAACTAGCCTTCAGACTGCCTGTATGTTCCAGGTCCAGACTCTCACGTGCCTCGTTGCCACAAAGCCCCTCAGAACACAGACAGGAAAGGGAAGTATATCGGGAAGTACGTACGTCCAGTTGTGAGCATGTGAGAGATTCTTTGGGCTAACACAAAGCATTTAGCATAAAAGCTGAAATTATTGCAGATGACTACTTGGCTTTGCTGCTATGCATTGTGGGGTGATTACGATGAACCAATGAACACAATCCACATGGCTTAACGTAACCCCCCCCTCGCAGGTCTACATAGGAAATCCTCCTTATCAGTATGTATTCTATAACCAGACGACTCACTTTCATAGCAATGAAAAAATTGAGGCATATGGGTTTTTCGTTGGAAAGTAGATGTACATTAAACAAGTCGGATATGTTCCTCGCCTGCTGGCAGAGACTGACAATATGATGTATAACAGTTTAAAAAAAATAATATTCCAATTGCCCATTTCTGATATTTTATGCCTTCAGAAACGTCTTGTTCTTTTGTTAGAGCCCATCAACTGACTTCAGGACAGCTTAGGATCGAAGGACACTTTCCCGCCACATTTCCTTGACTAAAAAGAACTTACCACTTTGCCTGGCCGCGCCCATGTGCAAATAAATCCCTCCTGACAAGCAGTCACTAAACAGTCCTCTAAAAATATGAGTACAGTCAGTCTCTCGTGTGCTATCTTTTTACAGATGAGGGGCTCGAGGAGGGGCACATCCTCCATGCGCGGGCAGAGCAGAGTGCCCAGAGTCTTGGCGGGGTCCGTTTTAGTTTTGGTCAGCAGGTTGAGCTTGTCGCTGCTCTTGCTGTTGATGTGACCCATGCTGTGGTTGCGTTTGTGGTCTTTCTCGTGGTGGCGCTCCTTCCGATCGTGGAGTGATAGCGTGGCAAACTTACTCACGCCAGTGGCAATGGCAGTGTCCATAATACCACTGCCGATGCCGCCCGCCTTGTTGGTGCTGTTGGCCGTTGCCGTGGTGCTGGCCGAGTGGGGCAGGCTGTTGGAGCGTGGTAATGCCGTAGAGAGGGAGTTAATGCCAGGAGTATTGGCACCACTGTCGTTTCCATTAGTAGCGTTGCTCGAGGTGTTAGTGATTATCGTAGCACCCGCAGGCGGGCTGGTAGCATTCATCACGTTAGTGTGTGTCCGTGTCCGTGACAGTGGAAGATGGGGAAACAGGATGTCCTCGGTAAGGTCCCATAGGCACAGCTGAGTGTCCTGGCCCACTGAGCCGAACCGGTACGTGACGCTAACAGGCCGGCTGTCCGTGGAGTTGCGCTTGGAGAGTCGAGACTGCGTGCTGTTGGCCCGGTCTCGTCCAAAGTGGATCATCTGATCCTGGAAGTCCTCGTCGCTGCCACTGAACTCCATTGGGTCGCTCTCCTCCACGCTGGTGGTGTAATGGTCAAATGCCACCACACTGACCCACGACTTGTGCCCATGGCCTCGGGCAATGACTCTGCAGTCCAAAAACGACCACACGGTCACTAAATCGTCCTCGCCACCTGCAACTATGTACTTTCCATCGGGGCTCCAGCACACACACAGCAAGCCACCAAAGTAGCTCTTCATCGTGCCGTGAAGCTCCACCGCGTCAAAGTTGAAGACTCGTAGGAAGCCGTCCTGGCTCACACAGGCGAGGAACTTCCCGTCTGGAGAGAAGGCGAACTCATGCAGAGCCCCCTCCCCCACTGTCCATTTAAGGAGAGGGTTCCGTGTGGATTTACTCTTACACGTGTGTACAGAGTAGTTCTCCCCTTGTTTCAGCAGCTGGTAGTGAGGTGCCGTGGTGCCACAAGTATGCTCCACGTTGTACAGGTACATGTTCCCGCTGGCATGAGAGACCAGAAACAGGCTCTCTGAACCTGGCACCCATTTCACACAGGTTACTCTGGACTTATCTATTAGTCTCTGGGGGGGAGGGAGGGGAAGTTGAGGTTCGAGAGGTAGTTGTCAGGAGAGAGTGGAGGGAGAAGGGAAGAGTGAAGAGGATATATCAGCATGTATCATCAAGAAATCTATCCTTACAATATCATTTAATGGGTCCACTTTTGGTAATATGCAGTTTAAAAAGGTAAGGTGATTGGCAAGGTTCAAATAGTAAATGCTTTACAACTTTTTACCATTCAGATGCTTTAAATCTTCCTCATGAAAAGCTCCCAGAAGACATCTAAAATACTGTATCGCTCTTAACATTTTGATCATCTTATTAGGAAAAATTGTATACGTCCCATCTGTTGTGGACAAACATTAATGGTTTTCTTGTTGGGCACAAGTTAAGTCATCCATGTGGGATTGGTCGAGATGCAACTTAATCAAACCACTGTCCCTCAACCACTCACCTCCTCATTGAAGAGCTTGCTGGTCTCCTTCTTGATGGGGTCAATGAGCTGTACCTGTCCAGCAGAAAAACCCACGAGCAAGGAGACGCTTTCCGCCGTGGCAGTGAGGTGGTTGAAGTCGTGACAGGTGGGCTGCGTTCCTTTGTAGATGCGCTTGTCTATGGGCTTGCTCAGGTCAGCCGCCTGTGGACACAAAGTACGAAGGCACGTGAAATGATGGGAGAAAGCAACGAATTAACTTTGATGCATGATTGATCGCCCAGTCAATTTCTTTCTGTGCTTCGTTTCAAATAAACACTGGAAGTCGGTTACAGCTTGCGAAAGTCTGTGACCCATCTTGTGACCCATGTGTACGAGTGACATCTGGAATCAAATTAGTTTCCTACGACCTGCATTAGAACATCAAATAGCCTGAACAAAAACAGAAAGGCATGATGGGAGTGGTGCGCGACCGCGACACACCTTTAGCGTGTCAAAAACTAACTAATGTTAGCATTTTCCCACAGAGCAAACTAAGCGACTACGTGGTGACGGTAGCAGCTCGCCTGCCAAACGAATGTCCAAACAACTGAATCGGCCGCATTGTGATCAGCCGACAGCTGTCAGTCAATGGCCGCCGACAGGTGCGCGAACTGTCACTGTCACCACAAACTGACCCTCAACGTTACAGCGGCAACGATGACCGGAACGACTCGGGGAGGCAGAGCGAACTGTCAACTTCACTCCATCGATTGTCACTCAAACTCACCCGCACCGACGCTTCCATCGAGCAAAACTAAAAGCAGAGAGAGACACACACTGGGGGACGGAATTCTGGCCCCAAGTTGACGTTAGCTGTCGCTGGCGTCAGCTAACGTCAGTTGCGTTGGCTAACGTTAGCTTCCTCGTAGCATCGAGCTAACTAGCTGCGAGCTAACTTCAAAGTCAAGCACCTGTCAGGAGTCCTTTAACGCCTCCGACGCAAGCCCGAAGCTCAGCAACAGTTCGGACAGCGGGGCCGGGTTTTTTTAGGACTTCGCGGTAGCCATTAGCCGCATTAGCACGCTACCTTTCTGACGCCTTTGTAGATGTAGAAGTAGAGCTCACGGCCCACATTGAAACAGATCCTGTCGCCGTTGCCCGACTGGTCGTTGACGTTGACGAAGGAGACCTTGACGGGGTTGGAACCCTGCGAGTTGAAAGGCACCCTGTTGGGGCGGCTGTACTCGGAGTGAGTGAGGAGTTTGTAGACGCCTTCTCGAGTGGTGAACTGAGTTTTAATTTCGTTCATCTCCTTCCCTCCTCCCTCCGCCGCCATCTTTGAAATTAACATTCATCCCTTTTCCCACAGGCCGGATCTTACGCAGGGGGAAGGGGAGGGGAAGGAGGGGGGAGTTTCTCCCGTTCCCCCCCCCCAGCGGGTCACCGGGGAACCAGTGGAGGAGGACCCGGCTGTAGCTGCTTTACATACACACACATATGTGGGGAAAATAAAAGTTATTCAACAGTAACACGTATTTGTGTGTATAAGTAGAGCGTTAACGCGAATTTTTTTTTTAAGATTCACGGACGGACGTATTTGTTTGTTCAAAATTTTTAATTAGCTAACTAAGTGGCGCTTTGATGTCGTGCAAACCGAATGTGGTGCGTAGTGTTCAGCGGGGACCAAACTTTGCTGCAGCACACATCGAAGGCACCTGGCTGCGCACCGGTTGATTAATTCCCATCAACACAATAAACACACCTTACTTACTTTTACCACACGTATGTGCACCAAATGTCATTGCACACGGTGGACGAAGACAACGCTGAACATGACAAGTCCAGGTAACATTATTGTCTTTATTTTATGCAGTTCTGACTTGAATTTATCGAATGTAAAACTTTTGGTATGTTTGAAAGCATTATTGCGCAATAAATTAATAGTTGTCCTCCACTTTAGAGCACAGGAACAGACATGTGGCCAACAATGTGGACCAGCTTGCTTTCAAATACATGGTGAGATGAATCATTTAGCCACATTTCAATACGATATTCGGAGGACTGTGGCCCTCTTACATTGACGTCTACATGTGGGAAGAGTGACCTGTGTTTTCTACCAGGAGCTGTGCAAAGTGGAGTCCAGCACTGATTCTGAATCCGAGATCAGTCCAAGATGGTCAGACACCAGCGCTATGGTATTTCTTTATTTCTAAATGTGAATATTAAAAACACACACAGATATTTGGCAATGTGAACTTATTGTATCAGCTCAAACTGTTTGCACCCGGTCCTCTATTGAGGAAATCTTCCATTGGATGTCTCCATGAATACTCGTCTAATTGAGATTCCCCAGAAACTGACTCCATCATCATGGCACCAAATGTACACACACCTCCCGATGTCCACAGCTTTGTCTTTAGTGATCTCGGTAACATCATTTTGGAGGGAAACGTATTGAATTGGCTCTAGTAGGCTTTAGCGTTTTTTGATTTAATGGAATCACTTGGTTCCATGTTGAGCAGGGATGTGTGAGCAGTACACCTGAGAAGAGGACTTTTACCCGGACGTTGCCGTTAACACATAAGCCTGTAGGAAGACATGGCTGTTATTCTTTGGTAAGCTCTCTCCTCTAACCCGCCCATTTCCCAGCCAAAACATGCTGCCGTTCTTTATGTCTATAAATCAATGCCTGCGTCCTTGTGATTTATAGTTTTTGGACCCGTACGATGGGAGCTCTGAGGATTCTGACGAATCCAAAGATGTCGGGAGCTCCAGCAGGCAAACGAGGCAGCAGGGAAAAGTTGGTGGAGGAGGAGGAGGAGAAAGCGGCAGTCGGTTGCCGGGTAGGAACAGGAGATTTATCCTTCATCACCCAGCTTCTGTTGCCATGACAGAAGTGGCGAAAAATGTGATGAGAGAACCTGCAACGCCGCAGCAGCAGCCGCAGCAGCAGCCGCAGCAGCAACGTCTTTTAGATGTCCAGATGAAATGTGGGAGTGACTCAGAGTTGTGTGTCTTGGACGTTATAAACTCCCACGGTGAAAGGGATTATTGTAGAAATCTTGCCAATGACGCAACGATGCACAGCCAAACCATTGACACAGAAATGCATTGCCAAGTTAATGACTCAGGCTTGCACACCACCTCTTACTTACCCGGAGCCGGAGCCCCGGTGGAAAGGAGTTCGTCCCAGAGACTGGACAGCTCGTCCGGGACGTCCCCCTGCCCCTCTAACCCCAGATCGGTTTACAAGAGAAAGCTGGGTTTCCCAGAGGAAGAAAGGGCGGAGTTGTGGCAAAGAAAGAGGCAGTGTGTCGTCAACATGGACGAGCAAAAAAGAAAGTAAACTCTGCATCTGAAGTTGGAGCCATCTGATCGCGGACCAAAGAACTGCGGTCACATTGAAAGCCCTTAATAATAATAATTCCAGGTAGAACTACAGCATCTGGGGAATTTACTTTGTTTACTTATGTATAAATTTAGCGGTGTGGAGACCTGAGTTGATATCCTTAACTCCAGTTGTTGAGTGTCACATAATGTACTGATGTCTTTAAGCGGTTACGATTTGTTGTTTATATAATAACCTATGCACTGGTAATGAGGAAACCTTTTTCCATCCATTGATTAAAGAAAAACCTACTGTTAAAGAGGATTGAACCTGAGTTGTTTTGACCATGTAAACCAAACAAGTATCTGCTATTGTGGACTTTGAGCCCCTGCTGATTTGTTCAGTACGGAAATGATCTGCGCTACTGTTCACTACGTTCAGTTATACAGAAGAGTGGAATTACCCTCACAACTTTTTAAATGACATAATCCAGTACGCGTTAGAATGTCGGCCAGCATCAGGTCTGCGCTTGCTGAAATGGCTCAAACTGGAGGACAATCACAGAACCCAGTCATTTGATTCATTGAGACACAAAGTGGGCTTTCATTAGCCTGCTTTATGCGTCAGAATTAAAATGTCATTATCGAGGGCTGCTTGAATTTAGAAAACGGGCCGTTTATTGGCTGCCATCTAGTTGAGCATTCCAAAAAGTGCAATCACCTCCAGTTGCACTGCACATGCTACATATCCCCCAGCAATACTATTTCATTCACCATGAGAGAACTTTGAAACCATTAATGCAGTTGATTTCATGTCAGTTTATTCAATCTAAAAACATACAGAATCCTTCATAAAAACATCTTTTACTTTCACCGTCTCCACATCTCGTTCCTTCCATTTACCATCTGACAACATCCTCTAAACCTTCTTTGATACTTTCCAAAACCGCTAAGAATGGCTACAACTCAATTTACTGCTCTGTAAATGTTAAACTACGTTTCAAATTGGAATGAAACAAGCTACAAACTACTGCTTAAATGGTTAATACACACTGCATGCAAGGGATTGTGTAGGTAAATTAGCAAGACTAGTCTGCTGGAATGAACAATTTCATCTACTCGGTGCAGAGGACAGCAACGCCACGCTCGTAGAAGCTATGTGGGTCTTCCTTGGTGGCGATGTCGAAGTCAACAGTGAAGATGAGGTCAGACCTGGTGAAGTTCAGGTACACGGGGAGAGTCACCTGCAAGGCCAAGAAAAAATAAATGTGATGAAACAGTCAATCATGACAAAAGCAGACGTCAACAGCTGTATAGGTTACTTGTTACAAATAGGCACGTGTCTTGTTCTTACCATGTGTCGGCTCTCAGCGTTGCTTTGCTTGATCCAGCGCAGCTGAGTGAGCGGCAGCTCAGTGGAGATCGAGGTGGACAGAGACAACTTGTTGTTGCCACAAACTGCTCCCTGCAGCGTCAGACCTGAGAGAAAGAAGTGAGCATGTTCCAAGTTACGACCCTTGAAACCAAGCACTTTTATTGGTGACAATCAACTGGATTTCCATCATCAAGAGTTGTGTGAGTATTTGAAATCGGTCGCTCGAAAGCGTCCTCGTCTAACCTTTGATGCCGAAGCTGCAGGCGTCCAGTGCGGCACCCTGAGCGGTGGTGACGTTGACCTCCAGACACAGCTCCTCCAGAGACCAGCTGTTGGCCTGGGCCACATACTGGCGTGTAGCGGTAATGTAAGCCTCTGGCACAAACAGGCTGCCGAGGCACACATGGATGTTCTGGAAAAGGAGAGAAAGAGAAAAAGAAAAATTCCAGTAGTGTGAGTGGCTACACCAAGAATGAAATCTGCTCAAGGAACCCAACATGCTATTTAGAACAAGATGTTTGACGCGGTACACGAACAGTTGACCAAAAAGTACCTTCAGTTCCTTCGCACCCCCACTGGCAGCACCCTGGGAGATCTGCTGCAGCTGTTTGATGCGCTCACTGAAGTCCGCCACCCACTGGATCACAGTCATGGCGGCTGGAACGGTGTACCGACACCAGCCGCGGGGGAGGATGCCTGGGAAGCAAGAAAAAGATACCAGTCATTCATCATATTATGATCTGTTTAATGACATCTAGTTAGTAAAAGACAAAAGATCTTTTTAAGTATGGCTGCTTTTCATATATTCATTCATCTAACTTAAACGAGTTAAAAATACACAAAGAGTAAGATTTCACCTTTGACAAGGTCGCTGATGAGTGTGCGCAGGTCGTTAGTTTGCTTCTTCTTGCCCTCGCAAACTTGCACGACGTCGGCTAGGTCCTGACGGACCTCCTGCAGCATCTTGCCGCCCATCTTCACCTCGCGCTCGAAGAACCGGAACAGTGGGTCCTGTTTGTGTTTTCAAATGGGGCATCGAATCAAATACCGAAGAGCGCAAGGAAGATATCTGGTGGCATTCAAAGTGTCATTTGATCACACAGGTTTCCTTTAAGTCATTAAACGGACTAGAATTTACGCCTCACGTCTGTACAACCGCCGGAAACCGGTCATGTTTCAGTTCACATCCATGTCTGTCCAAAATGCCATCTAATCCTAACCCAAGTTTAGGTTTCGAGAGGTCCCAGTGACTTCAGATCACTCTAACAGAAGTATATTCTGGAGTCTAAGTGGACATTTTTTCCAAATTTGCAGACGTTTCCTCAAGCAATTCCCTGGATATCACCAGAACGAGCCGGGCGGGAGGTGATTTTGTGTTTGAGAATGGACCGGACGGATAACCCTGGAACCATAATGTTTCTATCAACGCAGCCCAGGGGGCATAAAAAATGGCTGGTGGATGTTGTGCATCATCTTGTGCAGAAGACCACATTAATAGATCAGTATTCTGAAGTCTGCTTGCTCACCACCATTTCTCTGCCATTACCTTGATGTTCTCCACCGTGCGTTTGAGCGGATTGACCGTTTGGGGCATGAGCTGTAGCCAGTTGCAGGCCGTGGTGTGCAGGGTCCTCATCCAGGCCGGCTGGGCGTCGGATGCAGACGAAGTGCGCTCCTTTATCTCTGTCTCGTAGGCAAGGTCATCCTCATCCTCCAACGTCTGCATTTTCAGCATCTTACCCATCATGTCAGTGCCTGCGCAGCCGGGCGGAGGGAGTGAGTGGGGAGGGAGGTTGAAGACAAGGCCGTGGTTGGAGGTAGGGGAGAAGAAATTAATAGTGGAACAAAGTCACCGACCGCTTACCACGAGGGTTTTTTTTAAACTGTTGTGCCAGACAAACAAATAAAGACGATACTGGCAAAGACAAAAAACACATAAGGCTGCAGGCAATATTTCAATAAAATGTAACATTCAACAGAGTTTCCAAATGGTAAAATTAACCACATTCTTGACTGACGATCTGTAAGAACTGAAAATATTAAGGAGAATCTAAGGGGTAGGAATCAGGCAGAGCAAAGATGGGGAAGTGTGGCGGGTTGCCTAACGGGGGGATTCTTTGGCAGCTGGGATTGTGGAGGTTTGGAAAGGGTGTGGAAATAAAAACAAAGCGGGTAGGATTGAGGGAGAAGTGTTGCTTTGAATCTTAATCTGAGGGTAGGGTGAGGATCATATTTCAGCAAAGCGACATGATGGGTGTGAAATACAGCTGCTGGAGGGTGAGGACACCCCTTTCCTTCGGGCAGAGCACCTTTTAAAAAGGGTCAATGGCCTCAGCTGCTACAGCTATGATATATAAGACCGTACCACAGAAAACAAACCGGTCAAGTGAACCCATGAGAAGATGAGGAATTAGTAGAGGTAGTAATACATTATTTGCCGCTGCCGCCACAGCCCCACCCACACCCACACCTCGTGACCACTGGTTGATGCTGTCAAAACTAAATTAAAGACACTAGAATAGAGAGAGATGGTTAATGATCTGCCTGGTGAAAACGTGGAATCTGAATCAATCATTGAGAAACAAGGATCAGGATATGTTGCAGTCCAGTTACAGTTAGCGTACCCTGAGTAGTAAGCAACACCTTCTCTGCATTGCTAGGCAACCCGAGCCAAGATGGAGTCTGAGTGTCGGGAAGCATCTCTACCCAGTGCATGAACTCCTCACGCCTGCAATGTAAAAAAAGAAAAGAAAAGATAGTCAAGAACACATAATTCTGTTCAAAATATAACAAAGCAATTTGAAGAGAAAAGCCAGAACTGACCGAATGCCGTCTGGCATTTTGATGTCCTTGTGTCCGTCGACCTTGAGAGCCAGCTTGAATTCACTGTCGAAGCTTCTCTTGGTAAAGATGCGATCCATGAAGGTGTTGAGCAGACGCTGGTCAAACTCATTGTCAATGCGGCCGCCATAGATGGATTGGGCCATCAGGGTTTTCAGCGCTGCCCAGGGGATCTTGTCTGGCGCGATGTTCTGACGACCCTGTGTGTGTGTGTGTGTGGGGCAGAGGTTGTCATATCTTTAACACGCTGTATAAAGTCAAGGTATCTATTTTGCTATTTAAAAAAATGTATGTAATTTGATCTCCAACCTTAGCAGTGTCGTCCAGCCAGGTGTCAATGGTGTCACAGGCAGAGCGGAGGTCAGACTCTCCAAACTCATATTTCTTGGACCAGCCCAGAGGGGCATAGCGCAAACGCTCCTGGATGACTGCATGGAACCAAGCCAGCAGGAAGTAGAGACGAGCACGCTCGTTGGGAGCCTGGAGAAACATGGGGGGGAGAAAAGTCATTAAGATGGCAACACCGAGGAGGACGTGTGCTATAAATCAACTTTTGGTGGAAAAGTGAGTTTGTGCATTGGTAGGTCCGGATTTAGTGACCTTGCACATGCGAGCCACGGGGATGCTGCTGAAGGTTCTGAGCATGTTGGCCTTGACACCAGGAGGAGGCTCAAACACAAAGATACGACCGGCACGAAGTAGATTCACTGGAACCTGGCGGAAATATTACATTAATGAGATTTTAGGGAATGAAAGAATTGAGAGAAAAAGATCTCTGGAGCTAGAAGTGATCATTTTAAAGTCATTATAAAGACTAACATGCTAACATGTTTTATAAGTGATGTGGTTTACCTTGGGGTTGATCTCCATGGTAAGGAAGAGCCTGAAGCTGGCATGAGGCTGCATGGAATGCAGCTTCTTCTCCAGCTGCATCAGCCATCCGGGGGCCAAGTGGACATTCTCCAACATCACCCACCTGCGGGACAAAAACAGTCAGGATACACACACACACACACACATACACATATCAAAACAAAGTGTACACACAGGAAATACACAATGCCCACCTTCCAGACTTGACAGCAGTGTTGATATCTCTGTCTGCCTTATTGAAGCCCTCAGCCGAACCTGTGGACAGAGGAAGAGTACAAACGTTTAA